CGGCCACACAGCCAGAAGCCCACGACGACCAGTACGCCTTCGTTACGTCAGATTTGGCGAGCGTGGCAGGCGAGCTGAACGTACCTGTCGAGAAACGAGGCGCAATCGTAGATTCGGGCGCGACCTCTCATTTTTGCCCTGATAGGGCGAAGTTCACGAACTTCGTGAGCATCCCTCCCCAAGACGTTCGCACAGCCGACGGTTCGAGCTTGAGTGCGATTGGCCGTGGAGATGTGCACCTGGAGCTACCGCTCGGTGAGAAACGCACAAAGGTCACATTAAAAAACGCACTCTACGCACCGAAAATGGCCTTTACGCTAATTTCCACGAATCGTATCGCAGCGGCTGGCCTAGCCGTGCTGTTCGAGGGCAGGATGTGCAAGCTCCTGTCGAAAGGGCCAGACCGGAAGGTCATTGCAGAGATCCCCCAGGTTGAAGGCCTGTATAGTGTCGCAGGAGGACAACAATGTCAGCATCATGCCAACATCGCAAAAGGGAAGCTTACCGTCAGCAGCGCCCACAAAGTACTGGGCCACGTGTCCCAGACTGCAGCCGCTGATGCAATCCGGAAGGGCCTAGTCACCGGCCTAGAACTGGATGACGCATCGGAAGCCGAATTTTGCGAAGCCTGTGTGCAAGCTAAGTCAACGAGGAAGCCCTTCCCAGAGGAAAGCACGAGCCGCGCACTTACCTATGGTGAGCTCGTGCACACTGATCTATGGGGCCCTGCCCAAACGGCAAGCATCGCCGGGTGCCTGTACTACGTCACGTTCACGGACGACTACAGCCGGCAGACTAAAGTTCAGTTCCTCAAATTGAAGAGCGAGGCACTTACAGCGTTTAAGGCCTATGAAGCCTGGTTGGCACGTCAGATGCCGGGAGTTAAGCTGCGCAAGGTCCGTTCGGACAGAGGGGGAGAATATCTCAGCGCCGAGTTCGACCTGTACCTCCGTCAGCAGGGTATCGAGCGTCAGTTAACCGTCCACGACTCACCTCAGCAGAATGGCGTGGCCGAACGCCTGAACCGGACCCTCGTTGAACATGCTAGGGCCATGCTGATAGGGAGGAATCTCCCTAAGTACCTGTGGGCAGAGGCGGTCAACTATGCAACTTGGTTGAAAAACCACTTACCATCAAGGTCGACCCCCGGCACTACGCCATACGAGCTCGTACGCAAGTCCAAGCCGGACTTGTCACGAGCCCATGAGTTCGGGGCGAAAGTCTTCGTCCACGTGCTGGATGCTGGGAAGTTGGAGCCGAAGGCAGAGGAGGCAATCTTTGTGGGGGTAGACGCTGAAAGCAAGGGTTATAGAGTGTACTGGCCGGGGAAACGCCATGTATCGGTGGAGAGGAACCTCACCTTTGCACCGGCAGAGATCCTGGTGGATGCACTGGACGAGGGGGAGCCTACTGCTGTTAACGAACATAACAGCGGCAACGGTAATAATAACTCACCTCATAGCGTCCAGCCCATCACCACTACCACGCAACAGCAACCTCAACCATCTACCGCCCAGCAACCTCAACCATCTACTCCTCAGCAACCTCAACCATCTACCGAGCAGCAACCTCAACCATCTACTCCTCCAAGGACGACGAGGGCCAGACCTCCTCCGGGCTACTATGCTAGCCTGAACGAAGGCAGCAATGCAGCGGCCATAGCGATGGAGAACCTGTTGGAAGCGTCAGAGGTAGATTTATTGGATGAAGAAACTCACCTTCACCTTGCCTTGGCAGTCGCCCAACCAGAGCCCACCTTGCAACAGGCGTTAAACGGACCAGATGGAGTAGAGTGGCAGGAAGCTGTTGATTACGAGATAAGTCAGCTTGAGAAGTTGGGGACGTGGGAAGTAGTAGACTTACCTCGCGGCGCTAACCTCATCCCCTGCCATTTCGTGTTGGCCACGAAACGTGGACCCGACGGTGAAAAACTCAAACTGCGGGCACGACTCGTTGCCAACGGCCAGAAGCAGCAGTTCGGTGTCGACTACTTCGACATGTTCGCGCCCACAGCCAACATGAGCACCATACGCACTGTATTGACGATGGCGGCTCAGAACGACTGGGAAATCCACCAAGTCGACATAAAAAGTGCGTACCTCTATGCGAGTATCCAGGAGGAGATTTACATGCGCGCGCCACCCGGCTACCTCACGGAGAGTCAGCGAGGAAAAGTGTTGCGGCTGCGAAGGAGCTTACCTGGTTTGAAGCAGGCCGGTTTTGAGTGGGCTGAGGAGTTAGCAGGAGTTTTTGCGAAGATAGGTTTCGCCCGGTCCAAGGTGGACCAGGCAGTCTACTACAGACGCGCACCGGACGAGCACGTCGTCATCACCGTCTCAGTGGACGACATGGCCGTTACTGCCAACCGGGCCTCCCACATCACCCGCTTCAAGTCCCAGCTCCGTAAATTCTTCGAAATCACAGACCTGGGCGAGCTAAACTGGCTGTTAGGGCTAAAGGTAACGCGAGACCGTGGCGCACGTACCTTGACACTCTCCCAGAAAGCCTATGTGGACACGATCGTCGAGCGCTTCTACATGGGAGACGCTAAGAGTGCACAGACGCCGATGGAACCTACACTCACCTTGTCCGTTGACCAGGGACCTGCCACGGTGCAGGAGATCCAGGCCATGCGCGATGTACCGTATCAGCGAGCCATTGGCTCGCTGATGTATGCAGCCACTAGCACCAGGCCGGACATAGCATTCCCTGTCGCGACATTGTCGCAATTCATGCGCAATCCTGGTAGGCCTCACTGGGAGGCCACCAAGAGGGCACTACGCTACCTTAAGGGCACGGGAGACTTCGAGCTAACGCTCGGTTCGACGGACGGAGGTCTTGAAGCCTTCGTGGATGCGGACTGGGCGTCACAACCCCACCGGCACTCTATGTCCGGGTACATAGTCCTTTTGAACGGAGGTCCCGTTGCATGGAGTGCCCGGAAGCAACCACTGATCGCGCTATCCACGGCAGAGGCTGAGTATATCGCCCTGACCAGTGTGATACGCGAGTTACTTTACCTTAGGTTGCTCCTCGGGGAGCTATACGACCCCGTCCCCAATCCTATCCCCGTGTTCTGCGACAACCAGGCTGCCATCGCATTAGCGTCCAACGGCAAGTTCCAATCACGCACCAAACACATAGACCTTCGATACCATTTCGTCCGCTCCCACGTCAAGAACGGCACATTCAAGCTATTCTACTGCCCCTCCGAGGACAACATCGCCGATGCCTTTACAAAGGCCCTGCCGAGACCGCGACTCCAGAAGTTGCGAACGATGATGAGCGTGGCTTGCGCTCGAGGGGGAGTGTTGGAGTACGAGACCGAGAGATCCGAGCCCAGGGGGAGATCCGAGTCGAGAGAGTCCGAAGGATCCGAGTGATAAGGGGAGAATGGTTCGAGCGCGCGCCAAAACGGACGAAGACGAGCGACGTATGACGTCGGCTCGCGTCCTAGTTTATTTTCAGTCTCTCATTCATATGTTCCAGTACCTGACCAACTTACTATAAGATTACCAGCAGTACCGCAGGCGCATCTCAGTTTTCGTTCGAGACAACTGAGATGTACGTGCCAACAAGTCCCTAGAGTTTACAACGCGTCTAATGTTAGTTATAGCTTGTCTTTGTCGTTCTAGGTAGACGCACCGTTATAGGAGTTTTCGTTCGAGACAACTGAGATCTTGTCTTTGTCGTTCTAGACTCCTCGTGACCCTCTTGCTCGTCATAAACGCCTTTAGGACGCTCGTTGAAAGAAAAAGGAAACACCGGTGTGAAGCATGACTCACTGTTATATACTGTCGAGCCCAGGTACTGCGTCATAGAGGCGCCGTGTCTGCACAACGCTCCGACCTCTTCTGGACGTTTCGCAAGTAAATACAATCGTCGAATCGTGGGATACGACAGAAGGTTGGGCGAAGATTCGAAGCAGGTTATACATTGGCAGTTGTTTTCTTCGAGGCACCCGTAAGGTGGTTGAGTAGTCTACAAGGCCTTCAGATCTTTTAGGCTAGGAAGGCCAGAACCGGTCAAATGGTAAGGATGCCAATGATTGTGTAAGATTACAATTTAGCACTACCACTACGTATACTTACAGCACTACACCAAGTTTCGAATCATTTACAAATATTATCGCGACTGCAAACTTTTTGAACTTAATCAGACTTGTATGTTTTCTGTGCTGCGTGAAATATATTTCTTTGAGTGGGGGTCGACCAATAGCCGGACAACATGCACGACTTTGTTGTTGCGAACTGATTGCGACACAGACTTATATCATTTGCTCTCGAGCGATTTACATCCGTAACATCATCACCCTGAGCAAGTAAAAAATATTCAGTGAAAGCTGAATGATATATGTCTGTGCTACTGGGGACGTCGTCGAAGTGTATTTTGCTTCAGCACATTGCAACATCCTTCCTTGACCCTCTCAGTATCAGTCTGTATTGAAGCTTATTGAACCTGTGCCCGCTCTTTTTCTCTCACATCCATCCAAACCTAAAAGGTTATGAAACGAATAATGCCAATAGGCTGGCGTGCTCGTGCATTCGTCTTACCTCGATAAGGTCAAATATTACTATGTGAAAGTGGTCAGCAGATATACGAAGATTGTTGTGATGCTCTATTATATATTACTTTAAATATCTTTCTCATTTGTTCACCGGTTCTCTGATGACTATGTCAAAATATTGCCATACCGATAGCGATCTTATGCGCACGAGGGTGAAAGTGTCAAGATCGACGCAATTGCTTTCAAATGTATCCGTGGCTTCTTCCATAGTCGAATTATGAGTATGATAGATGCATCAAAATGACAAGGATGCCTGGTTATTCGGACAAAGGACATTAGGTCAGTACGAAAGCGCGAGTATCAACTTTATGTACGAATGTGAGTGAGTCCGCGATGTACTAGTAGGCCAAGGATATGCACTAAAGGTCAGTACTAAAGTGTGAGTATGTAACGAACGCTCGCATTAATCATTGTAAAGTCCATGATGTAAAGTTCAATCATCCTCCTCGGAGCCTGCTTCGTCCTCATCGCTCTCGTCAGGATGAGGAAATGCGCGCAGGGTGACTAGTTTCTTCCGCAACAGTGGATTCATTACGATCGCTGGGCCTCCATGTTGCCCTTTAGGAAGCGTCTTCCATATACTACCGGGCATTGGTTTGGTAACCCACATACGGTCTGATTGGGTGCATGGCACCCATGCCAGGGTGTTGAATTCCTTCTCCAGTGCACGTCTGATCCTAGGCAGGTATTTGCGTCCAGTTTCCTGTGCAAGAGCGATGTAGCGGTTGAGGTATCTGCACCTTTTAAAATTCTGACTTCTCATAGCACGATCAGCGTCTTCGGCAGTACCAGGAAAAAACCGACCAAAGTGCATCTTCCACTGTTCCCTTGAGCAGTAGGAGTATTGCACTTGATCGAAAGGAACTGCGGTGGTCTGTAGTAATGTTGGGCGCGCCAGGTCGCCGCGCATCCGGGCAGGAATGGAAAGGTATGATCCTTCCCGCCTGGATTTCCGGTTAGGCGCCTCCTCGATGATGTCCAGGAAGAATTGCTCGTAAATTTTTGCAGCACGTTGATCAGCCGTGAGATCCCCTTCCTCGTCATCCTCTTCCACATGAAGGTCTTGTTCCTCGCCCCCGTTCGAGATATGGAGTTCTACATCCCTACCTACCAAGCGAACTGGAGGTTTGAAGCGGACACCAACGATCTCAGTGCTTAGGTGCAAGCGCTGTCGATCTGGCTCTCTTACGTCATCGACATCGCGAGTTTTACGCTTACGATTAGTCGTTCGTTCCGGGTTGGCGTGAGATCGGCCGGATGGAGCTATGATCCAAGAGAATGAGGATTTGATGTCGTTCATGGAGTGCGCCTGATAAATGAGAGTCATAGATTTTGAGTCAAATGTACGCTGGAGAGGCAGGCGAAGAAATCCCCCGTTCAAGTGGGCATTGAGGACGATATCACAAATAAAATAGGCGCCGCTGTCATATAAAATGGGCAGAGTTGGTGAGTCTTCATCCGCGTCGTCTGGATCTTCGAGCACCTGTTGGCAGGCAGTCTCAATCAAGCTCTCCCATCCAAAGCCCTCAGCGGGACGGGTGAAGCAGGCGTTGAGCATATAAATGCAGACAGCACCGAGTGCCAACGTAGAGTCCAGAGCACGTGCCCTGGCATCCGCTTTGGACACATCCAGGAGGACCAAACGAATGGCAGCGAGACGATAATATACGAAGTACCTGGGACGTATTGGCTCAGGGATAGAACAAAATGTCATGAGAATGCGTACTTACCACCACTGTCTTCTGTCGATGGCAATGACGCAGCGCTGGACGAAGTCCTCTGGGAGAGTAGGCAGCCAGTTCAAGGCCTTGTCCAGCGGAACCCGAACCTCAAGGCGGGCGCAACCATCACGACCGACGACCACTCCATCACCAGTGCATTCGAAAAATACGTCGCTCATGATATCCAAGTCCGATAGAATCTTCTCCAGCGTCTTCTTCTCCAAAAGCTCTTTGGCTCGACGCCGCCGAAAGACTCCAGGGCTCAGTGAATACGTCACATTTTTTTCGGTACAATACGCCTGGATATATGATATACCATCTGCGCGGGCGACAGTGGTCGTATTTGCACGAAAGCCGGCGAATTCTTTGATTTGTAAATGGCGATCAACGTGAAACGCTGACTTTTTCTTCATCAAGCGATCAATGCGGTCAGGGCCTGCGTGAGGCATAAGAAAGTTGAGGATCTCTCGGTGAGAAGACTCGCGCCAGGTGACAACATGCCCTGGCAAGCCAATCGTTAGTGCAACATCCACATGCCACTGTCGAGGATCCAGGTGTCGACCATTGACATGCTCAAATACTTCATCGAGAGCCGTACGTCTTTCAGCCGCGACCTCTCCATCGTGCATAGCAGCGTTCTTCTTTCCTCTTAACTCGTGCACAAAATATGCATCCCTGAACTCGTCCTTTTCCTCCCCAAGTTTTGTGAGAAATGGGATTGCAAGGTCCTCCAAAACACGCCAAGCGACGTCGACGGTGTTAAATGCGAGGGAGCCGGTGGATGTTCTAGCGTGGGTCAAGGCGATATTATAAGAGGTCGGCCATCTGTCTCTTGTTTCGGGCAAATATTGTATCATCGTAGGACGAAGGCAGCGGTCGTATATAAGCGCCAAGTCCTCTTGAGACAATCCGACCCGAGACGGGTCTTCGGACGCTGCGGTGTATAATCTGGGGAAAAAAATCCTGACGACGTGCCGCTGTTCCACTTTCCCTAAAGGGACATTGGGAATTTTGTGCATGGGGACCTGGATCTCGTCACCCTGGTTCAATATGGTCAGGATCCATAACTACCAGTCACTTAATCGAACGTGTCTTACCTCAGGGTCGTATGCGAGACTCTTGAGATGGTTGTCCTTGATCAACGTCTCCTTGAAAGGAGGGACGGGCCAGACCGACAATGCCGTTGTGTAAGGCAACGAACGTGATACCCCGATCACAGAGTCAATGTCGCGAGTGATGGTGGTTTCAGGTCGAGGAGGAACATGGGGAATGCCTTGCTGGGCATTCAGGGTGATGCGGCACTGGTCGACTTCCTCGTCTGCCTCTGGCCCGATCCTACCTGCCAATACGAAACGGATGAAATCGATCTCTGACCGACGATCGTCTCGCACGCGCGTGAACATGTCTTGAGATTGGCCGAGGAATTGGTCCAGTCTGAATTGGACAAGGTCATCGACCTCGTCTGGGTACTCCATTCTGGGAGTTGTAAGGACGGTGGGCGTCCGGTGAACGGGCTAAAGAACGTGCAGCAGCTGCAGCTGCAGCTGGAGAAATTAAGAGAGAAGGAGTGGAAGGGGGGGGGGAGCGGTGGAGACGACTTCCATTCCGCCTCTGCACTTTAGATTTTAAGTCAGTCGCTGCACATCCGATGGTCCGATTCTGACGTACTTACTAGTAGTTTATCGCCTATGATGGCGTCCCGTCGTGTGCACGGATCTTAAACGCAAGATTTGGATAGGTTAATTGAGGGTTGTAAAAGGCCTGGTACATCGCCGTAGTGTTCTGAATGAATAGCTACTACTAGGTCCGGCGCCTAAGAGGCACTAAAACTAAGTCACAAGGCCGTTCGTCGCTCGGTTTAGTAAGCGAGCCGAACTTTACTGATTAGGCTAGTCTACATTGTCTTGTCGCAACTATGATACTCGCGTAGCACTTTAGCAGTTTACTCAGCTTAGCTTGAACTTAACGCTACGCGCTCGGCTGTCCGTATGTATACAAAACAAAGCTCCAGCCCGATCTGAGAGTTTCAACTGACTCCAATGAGCCAGCAATTTGAACAGTCATAAGTTGAGTTCAACGTGCAACCATTGTCTATCGATGTCCATCATTCAACTGGTTTATGGATCAGCTATTTACACATAGTATCGCAGGCGGGCTGCCGGTACGGCCACCGCGATCGATGTCGTGTACAGATATTTTTGAAGTCAGACGCGTACGGCTCCATAGGTGTGGACTTCTCAGACGGCTGGCGGCTGCGAGGTTAGTTGTATTACATAAATTATGTAAGTTTCTTGCTTCGTCGAGAATGCCAAAGCGGCAAAAATCGGTTCGTCAAACCCTCTGCACGTGCTGTCATTCACGTCAACATTAATGCGACCCTTGAAACATTCAACTCGCTTCTCAGCCGCTGAATATTGTCCTGCTTTTTTTTTCGTTTCCCGGTCCGGGCACGTAACTCTAGCACTATGTGCCATCCGCAATCGCATCAAGAACAACACCGAACACCGATGTTAATATAGATAAACGAACATGTAAACATGATTTACATAATATAACCTCCACGCAATGCAGGTTAGTTGTAAACGACATCGAGAGGAAGGCGCTTGAAAGGATGCGCCCAATGCTGTGCTTTCTAGAAGGTGACCTGAAAGTGTGACAGGGACTGAACAGATTTGTCCAATAAACCTTGGACGGGAGGCTCATGCCACCAAAGGTCAGAACATCGGCCCAAAAAAGGTCGGATCCATTGTATGGAAAGAGGCTCTTTCCTATCTGAGAGGTCCACGTCATGCACCACACGAATGGACAGCGGAACACTGCTGGCTTTTTTTTAACCAGTGCTTGTACTCGTCACCACCAGTTGTGTCTACCCTAAGCAAGGATATCCTTAAGGACGCCCATAATCGAGGAGTGCACAGGGCAACTACTCGCCAGTGACGGCAGACCCCCTTGTCAAGACCGTTGGGCATTCATCCGATGAAGGTGCAACGTAATTTGTCTGGGGAAGACATCGAAGAACTCTCTATCCAAGTGGCTCTGATGTTAGCGAACAGCATGCTGGAGATGCCAGGGCTTCGTGGAATTCCAGCGACTCTTGCACGATGGCCCGTTTCTCCTTCAATCTAGCTTGGATACCTTGTAATTTTTCCAATGCACGGTTAAGAAGGTCGATGTGGTCATCGAGAGCTGCAGGTTGTAACTTTCGCTGCGTTACAACAGCGTGAATAGTTGGGACCTTGTCGGACGGAACATAACTGGTAGGACGATAAGAGAACGATGTCGGCATCAACTCAGATAACTGAACCAAAATATCAGCTTTGAGTCTTAAAGGAGTGTGGCCCATCACGATGCGCAATGATCGCGCCATTGCAACTGAAAAGCATCAAACTCACATCTAACAAATCATTCAATAAATCAGGACTGATCATTTAAAGATGTGAACGTTCCACGGCGGTATACAAGGGTACTGATCGCTCACCTCAAGCTGAAAAAAATGTGCGCACCACCGTCATATAGAGCGGGTATAGTGGGGCGTTTTCATCCGTGTCGTCGGGATGTTCGACTCGGAGCAGGTGAAGTAAGGCCTTCACAGTCGTCAGGACCTCACGCACAAGGAGGTACACCCATAATATAACCTTCCACGAAATGCAGGTTAGTTGTGAACGACATCGAGAAGAAGGCGCTTGACAGGATGCGCCCGATGCTGCGAAAAGGGTGACCAACGTGTCTGCTATGAAATCGGCGGATTTTCCGAGTCGTTGCGAGCTCGCTCCAACCCGGAACGAACGACTGATTGTAAGCGTCAAACTCGCGATGTCGATGACGTAGTAAGAGACGCTTCCTGCAGCCTGCAGGGAGAAAAGGAGGCCCAGCGATCGTAATGAATCTACTGTTGCGGAAGAAACTAGTCACCCTGCGCGCATTTCCTCATCCTGACGAGAGCGATGAGGACGAAGCAGGTCAGCAGCTTCATTGTAATGTGCACCGTTGAAGGCTTTGACCCCAGGCTGAACGTGCAGATATCTAATGTGCGAGTTGCAAAGATGAGCATCAAAGACCAAGCGTAGCCACATGATACTTACTTCCATGACAGGATGCACGAGAGAATCAACATTTGGACAAGCGGTAACCAGAACTTTGATAAGCGGTACCGCTTCCTCATGTTGGTCTGCGTTGAAGAGTGCAACGACCTGAAATACGCAATGAGGCAGAGAGCATGTGAGATGAATTTGACCTACCTTGATGAAGAGAAGAAATTGGTCAATGGCTGAATCTTGGTTTGTGAATGTGGATGCGACATTCATTGAATGCTATCCTTAGTTCCTGAACTTGAAGGCCTGATCCCGCACACATTCGTCAGCGTGTAAGAGCTATTTATATCTCGGTCACGGTAGATTCCAACAAGGGAATTATATTACCACGCTCATACAAGGAACCCTTCAAGCTGATGACGATACACCGGAAGGAGTCAGACGTTGCCTGACTCTAGATATAGTTAGCGATCTTAGCAACGTTGGTATTGTCCAGAGCAGCGTCTACTTCATCAAGGACAAAGAACGGTGCAGGCTAACAACCTGAGACATCGTGAGAACAAAGGTTTTTGGGGTGAAGACGAAAAGACCAAAGCAGCCACAGTCTTCTCCCCGCCCGAGAGTTGTTCCATGTCACGGAATCGCTTCATCAGTGGCATGGCATGATATTTGATTCCGGCATTATAAGGTTCCTGTGATCAATAAGTGTAAAATTGCCTGGACTTGACAGACTGAAAGACTCACCTCACTGTCCTGTAAACTAAGATATGCAATGCCTCCCATCGGCGAAGCCTTCCCTTTAGTGAGGTCTTTATAGACCTGGTCGATACAATCTGAAATGTGGTTGTATGCCTTGTTGAATAACTCGCATCGGGTGACTGGGATGAGGATGGCGCTCAAAGTAAACTATTCGCATACCTTTTTCGCTTGACATCGTTGAACTGAGACAATGAGATTATGGTAATGCCACCGACTACTGTCACAAGGACGTACCAGATCGTCTCTTATAACAGCTATAGCACTCTCTAGTCGTGTAACTTCAGCAATGACGTTTTTGTCTGTCTTGCCCCTCGGTATCGAGTGATCCAATTCCTGAAGCTGTGCCACAAGATTGTCACGAAGACAGGAAAAGCCTAAATATAAATGAGTGTGAGGCGCCACGGTCAGTGAGCTGCCTACCTTGCACGTCCTTCTCCCACTTCTTTCCTCCACCATGCGTACTGCGCCCACCGGTGATGAGCCCACTCTTATAGATGACAGTGCCCGCCAATGTAACGGCTGCCCAAATGTTAGCATGGCGTCCAACTTCCCGCAAATGAATGCCAACCTACCTCTCACCTCCTGCCCCCGCTCCCAGCACACGTACCTCACCACATCCATCGTGTCACACACGAGTGCATTCCCACACGCATGGAGCATCGCGCGCTCTATGGCAGGCTCATACTGGATCACGTCCACAGCGAGACGGTGCACCTCTAGTAAATGAGCGGAACTTGTCGTTGATTGGCTTGGTGCTGGTCGTGTTGAGGGGGAGGAAAGTTGCTTGACCTGCGCGCTGGGTGCGCATATACTATAATGTTTCAAAATTAGTTTAGATAGACAATAACAGAAGGCAGAGAAACGCACGTCGATGCATTCGATGGCAGTTTTCTCTTCATCCGCGACGATAGCGTCGATATTGCGCCCAAGGATGACAGATACAGCTGTCTCGTACTTGTCCTGTGTGGGTTTACAGAGGTCGACCACGCGCCCGCGAACGCCTATGGAATGTGAGCGGTGACTTTCTCTGACCAGGCAGGCAGCGCTGCAGACTGGCGAGCGTCTTCTTCAGCTTTGCCTCGCGCTCGGATTCATTCCTGTTGACGCCTGCTTGGAGCAAATGCTGATAGACATCCGCGAACTTTTCCTTTGCCTCGGTCTCAATAAGCGGGTCATAAGTCATTAAAACGAGCTTTATGTTTTTGTACCTGAGCCCGCGAGGTTACCAAACAGAGATGTGGATCTCGAAGTCGAATGAAAGCAACAGCATAATTTGCAAAAAGTGGTGCTCTGTGGAAAACGGGAGTACTTTGTATCACGAGAATCTTCCAGTCTTAAAGACCTCGCATGACGCATATGGTAATGGTGGTCGTGTGGGTGCAGGCGGTCGCGAGAATTACCACAGGAGGGGTCACGAAGGGCACCACGAGAGTTGGGCCGGACAGCATCACAAGGGTTGTGTACTGATGGGAGATGCGGTCAGTCAGCACGACTTGAGCTCGACGGGTGGATCAAATCATTCAGTCTATCAATGGATCAGCGATGATTTTGGTAAGGGATGAGGTTGTCCCAGCCGCACCGTATCCTTCGCCGCTTCCTCGGCTGCTGCTTTCACTTCCTGAAAAGATAGGATACATCAGCATTGGCGTAGGAAGAGCAACACACATTCATCCCTCATAAGCCTTTTCGCGCCCCTTGCAATGCTTCTCGAGCAATTCTAGATGTGGGATGTCGCCCTTGTTCCATTCCCTCTCATCTTCGAGCTCCTTCTCCAAATGTTCCTACTCCACATATCAACAGCGCAAATAAAAGGGAGAAAGATCAAGCGTTCACAATTTGCGAGGCGAATTGTTCATCACCACGACCATCTAATCATCCACCATCTCTCCTGGCTGCACGAGCAGGACTAGCAGTAATAGCTTGAAGAACTTGGGCAAAGTTGAGGGAGGGGTTGGAGGTAAGAGTAGCGGGACAGTAGAATGCGACCGACTGCAAGGGGAGATCAACGTGAGAACGTGCACTTCGGATGATAAAATGAATGAACGACAAAGCAGGAATAGAGCGCCGAAACGCCGCCAAGCTTTCCGCTGCAACCCACAACCCACAAACTACTCAATCCATCACCCGCCTGCGCCAAAGGAATCTCGAACCCTGGGCTAAGAGTGAGATAACACACGTTGTAGAGAAGAACCACAAGGCCAGTCGTGAATAATTGGTTTTGGCCATATGTTGGTGCGCTTCTGAACCAGCTAGTGAGGCGGGTGGTGTATGGGATGGCGAGGAGGGAGAAGGAGTAGAGGAAGGATTTGAGGTGAGGTGCAGAGGGTGTTTGGCTGTCCATTTATCTGTGAGAGGAGATAATGATGGGTGTATGAGCTCAAGGATAAGGTTCATTATCCTGCTAATAAATGGCATCCGCTCGCATAGCAATGGTATCACGACCCTGTGGATCGACTTCAGCGAAACACCGAGGCTTGTCGAATCCAAGAGCATGGACTGTCAATATGAAGTCTTTGTCGAGGACCGTCCTGGACGACCAAGTTACGAACATTCGTCGTTCAGACTTTTTCCCAATGCGTGACTTGTAGTGTTTGCGAGCAATCGTCGGGTGAGTAGGACTGCATATCTCCTGTATCTTTTCACTGGTTATGACGTCCGCAGCAATTTTGATGAACGTATCTTCATTAGTTGTAGAGGCATCGAGCATAGCTGCTGGAATCTCGCCGTATCGTTCGGCAATAGCCATCGGAAGCTGTAGACGGACCTAGTCCCGTCTGCCTTCATCCAAAAGATCCATTACAAACTGTTTGCTCTTCAGAAAAAGTATTCAATAACGAGAGTGCACTTACTGTCAATCTTGCTGTGACCTTCTGTCGAGCGGAAATCGAGCCAATTGAGATCGTGAATACTGCAGTAAAGTCAAAGTCAGTGCTCATCCAGTATCATCGAAATGTGCCAGTCATACTGTCGTGTGTCACCCATTCTACAAGTCCGGCAGTCCTTCCAGCATCTATTGCACTCAGGGAAGCTTGTGCGGCTTCTGACTTTTCCTTAGCGACACTGACAATAACGCGGCCATCGGCATGCTCGAGCTCAAAGGCACAAGCAGCAGCGCTCGCTGGAAGAGGGAATACATATTTGGCCCGGCTGGTAGGGCTATCTGATACGTTCTCAAACACTTGCGAGAGCACAACCCTCGCAGAGACTAGTATGAGGAAAGTGACGTGCTGATCAGTGGTTTTCGCCTGCACAGCGATCGAAATACGCACTATCGACCATCCATACTCTCACATCGACCTCTTGAAGCGGCAAATGCAGAATGCCTTGGTCCGGAGAGTGATGAATAATTCCTGCGTGTTTGCTCATACTGAAGTGTCGATATAAGGTGGAGATAAGGCCCATAGTAGATCCTTGGTCGTTTTATAATTGGAGTTTGACGCCCGGGCTTCCTGTGTTGCAACCCATCATCCTTTGGAAGCGTAAACAGGAATATCTCAGGCTGTGATATGCTGCAGTTTTGATTCCTGTGCACGAGGCGGACGAACTGCTAGCTCCAAAAACTTCTTCCAGGGAAAGTCGAGGACTGAATGAAGTATTGAATCCGATTTGATACTGCCGAATTAGATATTTCAGCGTAGCATCAATCTCAAATAGATCCGTCAGCAGGAGGACATCTCTATCCCAGAATATCCGGCCCATCCGACCCATCTCTTCATGGTCAAGTGATAGTTCATCATTCTCGTACATGCGAAGAGCCAGTCACTCTAATGTGAGACAACGACAACATATACGCAATCAGTTAAGCCACCTTTTGGTGTCACAAGTCTACAACATTTCATTAGAATCCTTGGCACTGTCGAACAAGCTCGAATTCCGAAACGCACTTCAAGAGAAACACTGCAGCTTTGTGCGATGAGCTACCCCATCAAATATTAGTTACAACGTCGGAGTTACCAATTCGGCGAGTTTGAAAGCTGCAATAGATGCTTTAGATCCGTCAAAGTGCATACTTAGACGCTCACAACATTCTCCCGCTATTGTTCGTCCCGTGGCTGACTATTTTGGCACGCCGCAGCCTAGTCGTCTGGACGATCGATACGTCGCACCCGTTGTGGTGCAACGAGACCATCCAATTCAGTCCTTAAAGTTGATGTCTTCATCATACCGTTAACGTCTAAAAGTGTGATTTAGCGTGGCTAGTCATGGGACTGGACGACACGTACAGCTCGGTGACTCTTCAAAGACATAGGGTTGGTCGTCTCCATCCGCAGCGAATCCCCCATCATTCAACAATTCATCATCATCTTCCTTCTCAGACTTGCGATGACCTGCATTCTCGTCGCTTCTCAAAGAATTAGTCGGTAGTTATACAGAAAAAAAATACGAATGACGCACGCTCCCTTCTTTCAACCTCTACCCTTCAATGGCTTCGGCTGCGAGTCCAATATTGCGGATCACGAGTTTTCTACAAGACGGTGAGCAGAATATGATGGGACTGACGTGATATAACGCGCCTTGATATCTATAAAGTGCGTGAAAAGATCCGTCTGACCGAGAAGGTACGAGTATCGTTTAATAGCATCGGTAATCTAAAGCGAGATAAGTGCCGATTTTGATGGAGATGAAATACCAGCGACAGGTCCCTAATCGAACACATGATAGGTTAGAACCGAGGCTGAACATGAGGAGGCAATGTCATGAACGCGCCTCCTGCTCATCATCGCTGACGAGCTCATCTTCTTGAGCACTCATGCCCTCGTCGATGTACTCGCTCTCGCCGTCATCCGCTCCCTAGCTTTGCTAAGAATGAAACACGGTACTTCAATTTCAGTATGGTGTTACATGTACCACACGGACAAGGATGGCCCAGGCCGGTTTAACTTTCCGTCAATTGGTCTTGCTCATAGTATCGATCACTAAGCAAAGTTTCCTGCTAGTCGTCAGGTCAACCCGAGTTCGGCATCAGAATAATTGGCGCAGACCGAATCATGCATGATAATTCAAGGACAAGAATTCAAGATCCAAGTTCAACTTGACGTTTTGAAGACGGTGTTACATAATTACATGACGTCCATTCTGGGAGTAGGCGTACCAGTCAGCCAATTATGTAAAATCGTTTCGGATCGATCCCCTTTGATCAAGTCTAATGTTCAACGTTGCAACGTTCAACTGCCGAACTATTATGTAGTAAGTAGTGATGAACAGCGGCTGGCTCCTACCACAGTGCATCGACAAAACTTATTTTCTCAGGTGTGCCGCAGTTCACATCAAGTTCACACGATCCATAGGTAAGTCCGTCGTACGTTTTGTGACATTTAACTGAAGTGAGGCCGCGTCGATTATCTAGCGTACAGTTGAAAAATCCTCGCGATCTTTCAACAGATGCTTATAAAGACCACCTCAAGGATTGGTCTTTATTCAAATACTAGCCTTCGAGGCTAACGATAGATGAAGGATTCAAGTTGCGCAGTGCATTATTACATCTTCATGCGGCCTCCCGATATCAATCTTCAACAACAACAGTTATTCGTTTCGACAGCCTCCTAAACTCGAGCTTTAGTGGACCACAAGTAAGACTAGGCACGATTGATCATTTCAGATAACTTCAAACATCTATATTGCTCGAGTAGTACGGAAATTTGTCCAAAAACAACTGTGCTGATTGGCTCCGAGCTAGGCATTGCACCATCAACCATAACACCAAAGTGAAAGGAGAAATACGACTCGCGGTATCATCATCACAAACCAAGACATTGCAGCAATTTTCATCTGTTTGGCAATCTTGTGTCTGGTTGAAACATGCACTGACGAACATGGCTGCTGTCAACGCAACAACAATGGTGAGGTAGGAGAAACGCATTGTTTGTGGGAAGTGGAATGCAACTCGAACGATATCTCCGAGGATGGAGAAGTACTGTAGGACGATTGCCAGCTTTTACATCCTGCATATACTCATGGGCGCGATTCTGATCGATTTAGCAGAATTATTATTGCTGTCAGATAGCAGAAGTTTCGGCAGAACCGGCCGGAGCGTATCCAATTGATCATGGTCATTGTATCATGACCTGCCGGCAGGCATCGACAATTCTCTTCGTAACCATGGTATACTCGCTCAAATTCCCACTCTCTCACTCATCGCTTTATCATTTGAACCTGCAATGACGAGCAGCGACTTTTTTCTCACTCGCTCGTTGCTCCATTGTACGCGATATTGGCACTGTCTTTTTCTTTGTTCGTTGACACGAATAAACAGTGTGTATCTCGTCGATTTTTCACGCGTGACAACGCAGTATACGGTTGAACGTGCGTAAAAAGATCAGCTCTGAGATCCAGAACTGTTTTTAACAGATCTAGTCAGTCCTTAGCATTCATTGAACGTACTTGCGTAAGCGAATCTCAAGGGGAATTGCCTGTGATTCACTGTCCAGGTCGAGCGATAAGGATTGATTGAATGTAAAGTAATCCGTGGAATGCGGTGGCTTATTAAGTAACCGCACCTCGACCTCGACGAAACGAAACGTCTATGTCTTGTTTCGCAAACAAAGGAAGGATTTGATTAATAATCAAACTTTGGTAAGGACAGTGCATAGGTAGCGACACAGTAGCTAGGGCTCAGGCTAAAAGGCAAGCAAAAGGTATAATGATTGGGCAAAGTCTTAGGAAGACTTTCGACCGAAACATACTCGAAAAAACTCCTAAGGTAGGGGGCAAGCAAGCCGATTCCCCTGTGACTAGGAGCGAAACGGCGCAACAGGCATTAGCTTGGCCCCAGAAATTAGGAGTATCGCGAATACGAACCTTTAGGTTGGCAATGCGTAACACATGAAAGGTTCTAAGACTGGCTGATCTTGCAGATATGGCGCGAGTACTATAGTGTGTTTCTGGAGGTAAAGTACAAATGCGTCAGAGTTCCACCTCCCCATTGTCTTCATAGTCTCAAATGGGACGCCGCGAAGTAGATACTCGAGAGTCCCTCCAATACGGATACCATGACCCTTCAGGTCTCCATGTCCTGAATGGGCACTCGCATCTTTGAGACACTTCAGAAAGGCAGTGCGAGTGAGAGCATGCAAACCTGTGCCATGTTGCCAACTGAAAAGAGCATCGGAAGGAGACAGATGATTGATGTGAAGGTGATTATTTAGAGCAGCAAGAGGGTCGGCAAGACCTGACTGTGCTGCCCAGTAGACATCTTCACCTGAGGAAGATGTGTTGGTGCGCGGCAAGCGGAAGACTGTAACATGGAAACCATGACGGTCGACCTTGTGACGGATATCGCTGACAGATACATGGAGATGTCGATCAAAGCTTTTCAATGAAGGTACTGTAAATTCTCCGGTGCGCGCGATGGTGAAAAATGATGTAGTTAAACACGCATACACAGCAGCATGTAAGGGTGTCGAGAGATCCAAACTGGAGTGAATCATCAGCAACAGCGCAACAGTGAAGGGAGCACGTTTCGCGCGAGACGAGGACGAGGGAGCGAGGGACTTGGCACCCTCCAATGTTAAGGACGCTTGCGCTTGATCAACTGACCAAGGTAAGTCATGTAGTAGGTGCCATGCGTGTATGCCGTAGAAATAGTTTTCCAAGGTCTTTCCGGAATAGAGACCCGCGCAGCCGGCCAGAAATGCTAACACCAGTACAGAAGACGCTGGGCAACGTTGATGCTCAGGAATTCCTCGAGAGTCACAGAAAACATGAAAGACAAGCAAACTGGAGCCATAACACTCCCGGGTGCTCGGAGCATGACAGTGGGCAATGACAAGCAATATGCGATCTATGTTGCTGTCCGTCAAGGAGACAAGCGAACCCGTATGGTCAAGGCGTGACCGAGAAGTGGCAGGGACCCAAAGCCTAAGTCGATCACGAGCTAGGCAATGAGGGCGAAGGGGTGAAAGGAGGGGAGTAAGAGAGTTATGGTAGGGTCGAGGTTGCATGGCAGGAGGTGCTGATGGCAGGGGATGCGACACGTTGAAGCGATTGGATGAGGTGTTCTCGTGCAACTGCGGGGTGGTGGAGGTCGCCTCTTCAAGGCTGGGTAGGTGCTTTTCTAACCAGCCCATCATCAGAAGGTGGCTGGCGGCAGGTGTGGTGACGAGGGATGTTATTGTCGACGTCGACGTCAATGAGGAATTTTGACAGCTCGACGGGGAGCGTGATTGGTGGTAAAAGGAAACGTCACGGTGGGTAGATTCCCTGTGATGGCCCATCTGCGGGATTGTCGCAACTGGGAACATACTGCGGGTAGAAGGAGTAAGCGTTGTCATGGCAGTCGAGCTGGGCAAGTATCCTTCGGAAGATTGAGTTGGTTTCGCGGTTGCGACTTCTGCCATTCCTCCAACCTTCAATGACACCCTGGTTGTCACAGTAGATGCGGAAATGATGATAGGAGGAATATAGGGGGTGGTGGAGAATGGCTGTGATGAGGAGTTCAAGACCGGCACATTCCGCCCATCCAATGTCCCGTTGTCCGTCAAGTGTTTGCCATCCAGGCTGAAGAGTCCAGGCCCTCCAATACCCATCGATAATAATTGCAACCCTGACGCTTGAACTTGCGTCGGAGAACGCACAAATGTCGACGAGAGACTTGGGCAATGCGATTGACCTGCCGACAAAGGAGTGTGAGAGAGTGGTGGACCACCAGTCAAGATCATCTTTGAGGTGCTTGACGGAGTGATATGACATGAACGGACGATGACTGCAGATGCCAAGCATGGTCTCCAGGCATGTGAGGTAAGCTCTGCCCGCTGGGACCACGAGGCAAGCGTGCACCAGCTTACCATGAAGTTTCTGCACGTCGAGGAGCGAGTGTGTTTTCTGTTGGCGCCAGGTTTGAATGGCAGCCTGATACTTCTCCCGCTTCTGATCCGAGAGTTGGACTGTGAGTTTGGGGATATCCCACAGTAGCCCGATGAAAAGGGCGAAGAACGCAAAAGCTTTGTCCTTGAGGGGTTCCCAAGGAGTGCCCAATGGTTTGGACGTATAATCAATGTCGGCGAATGCGTAGGAGAACATGGAATCAAAGGAGGAACGAGGAGAAGATGAGGAGAGGTCGCATAGGAGAAATTGGTGATCTTCTGCATGCACTTCGAAAGAGTCATCAATAAGTAAACTACCTTTAAACCAAACACGCCCGCCAGAGTGAACGCGCCCTCCCTGAGCAACAAATGAATGGATGGTTTGGCGATAGGCATTATAACTATCCAAATACTCCCGCCGAATCTGAAAGAATAGATGATCATCCACCCACTTTGTGATGGGTCCGAGTCCTTCTGCACGCAAAAGATCAATCCCCACATCAGCGACATGTCCATAGACGCCAGCAGAGGGTCCCATACCGAAGGAGACACATGTATCCACACAAAAGGAGTCATCAGGAAGACGCACCACAGCTCCCGGCCACTGGGAGAAGTGTAGAGGAACAGTGCAATACGCTTCGGCGACATCTCGCGTCGCGGCTTGGGAGCCTGGGGGTAAGGACCGAATAATGCTGCACACTGTGTCGAAAGTGCCCCATGTGCATGGGAAGTCGTCGGGCTTGAGCAAGGAATTAATGCACGGGTTGGGATAGGCCAGCGAAGGCAGTAGAGGAAAAGAAAAATTCTGAATGACTCTAAATTTTCCAGGCTTGCCTGGTTTTGGTATGATGGATATGGGGGACGACTGGAATGGACCAAGCAGAGCAAACAAATGATCATAGGAGAACGGTCCAAGGTAATGGCCAGTATGTAGTTCACAAGTAAGAATGGAATGAAAAGCATCAGCGAAGGTGACGAGGGAAGCATTATTCGAGGGACATTGAACACTGTTAATTTTTGGGATACCAAGGTTAAAACCGAAACGAAGATTATGTGACAAAGTGGGGTATATACGAAGCAGATCGTGTCTGCGCAAAGCAGCTTCCCAAAAATCAGGATTGTACGGCGTGAGTGAGTTTTGACGTCTGTGCGCGAGGGCACTGCTGAGCTCCATGGGAGTTGGCAAGACACCCTGAGCAAATATGTCTCTCGTTGTGAGAGCGACTGGAGCAGCTTTTGGAATGCTGCCAGTCGACGCACAAAGGCTTGTCTGAGCTGCGTAACAGGAGCTGTCTGTTGACGCGTGTGGTGAGAGCAGAGTGGGAGTTGTCCCAAAGGCGCTCCGCTGTGCACTCGATGAAGGCATGAGATTTGCTCCCCAAGCAAACGGCACACACGGCTGGGGGGCGAGAGCCGTGTGCGCTGTCTTGAAAAACTGAGTGCGAATGTGCAGGCCGGGAAGAGCGAGGAGCGTGTGTCTTTTTTGAGGCTTTGGGAGATGGTGAACGATCACGGTTGTGCGGAGATAAGGAGCGCTTCGGGCGATGGGAGTGATGGTGACTAAGTGATTTTGAGTCCTAAGATCGGCAGATTTGTGACCATAGGAGCAATTGTGAGTGCAGGAGAACATCCGCAAAGTGTGGTTCAACAGAACAAACACAAAAAGGCGAAGGGAAGGCAGTCCACGCAAACGCGGGGGAGATAAGGCAAGCACAGGGGAGATAAGGCAAACACAGGGGAAGGTAACGCAAACACGAGGATACAACACAGGAAAAAAAACAACGCAGATGACACGTAAGATCATGGGGCAAACGAGGGAAGAAAACAAAGTTAGAATAACGTCAACCGAAGGGTGACAAAGTGCGTACCGTGTGCTCAGTTGCGAGATCAAGAGAACGCATGGTACGAAACACTCTATCATATGTGCGGAGAAGGGCAGCATCATCTATGATAGAGATGTCCCAGGCGCCCTTAGCCAGAGGGATGGCGTTGTGCCAAGCACGACACTGTTCCTCCTGGTAGATTAGAATCGCACGTTGGGCGATAGAATCAATTGAGTTCCAGTATCGATGAAGCATGAGTGCGGCCCAGAAGCGAGCAAGCATAGTGACCCGTTGAACCGGCCAATCATATTCCTCTAAAGCGGAGATCATCCGTGGTACTGCTTGAGCAAATTCAACCGGAGAGAGATTACGATCAGCAACAACAGCCGACGATGGTTTAGCTCCAGCTGCAGTGATCCATGTGGTGGAGCCATCTGCGCTAGTAGTTGGAAGCATACCTTCATCATCTCGAGTGCGATACGTGGAGTGGGCTTCTTGGATTCCAGTGTTCGTCCAGTAATAAAGTTCGACGTAGTGTCCTTTGTCGATCTTCCGGAGGGCAAAGTCTGAGACCAACACTTCATTGTCAGTTGCATCAGGACGAGGGCGCATGGGAATGGGTAAGTGTTTGGAACGGTTCTTCTTTCGTTCGTCGGCTTTGTTTGTTTCTTCAACTAGATGGAGAGTCTGTTGATGGCACTCGGCTTCTTCTTCGGCTAAGCGTTGATGTTCGTTTTGGAGACACTCATCTTCTGCGAGCTGCTGTTGCCATTGTGAACGCAAGGCATTGTTGGTGGTGAGCCAGATCGCGTGGAGGAGTTCCACAGCTTGCGCTTCGGTGGTAGTAGGGGTGACGAGGCTGGTGCGACTAGCGAGGTATGGATCACTAAGGAAATCAGGACAGACTAAAAGGCTGGGGTCGGAGTGTAGACGGTCCATCACAGTGGAAAACGTAGGCAGACGTAGACAAAGGAAGTAAAATGATTTCCAATGGTTTAGGAGTTTAGAAAGAGTAATTGAAATGACAAGTCTTGTCGAAAGGCTGATAGCGAGGACGAAAAGGGAGAAGCGACAACATTTGATTTGCTGACAACATAGACTCTATTCATGTCATGTGATCGTACCTCACACTCAGTCAGAATTCAAATGATGGAGGGCTATTATGCACCTCTAATCATTTACTTTCTGATTGAGAGATTACATTGTATTGCGCACATGCAAAATGACCTTCAGATGCAGTAGAAATGTTCATACTGTGGTAGCATGGCACAATGAAATCTGAAATATGTCCGCTGCAGGACACGTAACCGGTCAGTGTCAAAGTAGTTGCCTGTAAACATGCGGGTTTTGCATCAAAGGACTTCATGGCACACTCGCCCTTGGTCACAACATGTAACGTGCAAGAATCCCCAAGGATTGGATATCGCTATCTATAGACCAGGTGCCACAGGGACTTGGTATACATCGGTTGCAATACAACCCTTAAACAAACAGCCAATTCGAGGAGAAGTTTGTTATCATATCAATGCACTCTATTTGGTTAGTTGACTTGCTTTATGTAAAGGGGGTGGGTATGATATGGCTGTGACCTCTCGCAAATTGAGTGTTTGAATAATTGAAAGCAGAAGTGTCACATGAATATCATGGACTTCAATGATAAGACCTTGCACAATACAGGTGAGAAACATATATGCAGATGGCAAGGAAAATCGTACTAGGACGTAAAGCAGGACAATAAACGGCAAGATACATGCTCCTTCCGATATCTGCCTGACTGCACGCCTGTTCACTCAAGCTGTGGCGCACAAGCTAGAATTGACAACAAGACAATTCAACATGCCAAAGTGCGATCCCAACAATGCTCCGATGATAAGCAACGGCCCGATCATTAACCACAGTGCCGGGAGCCCAAAGATGATCACCTTGGCGGAGATGAATGAAACCTCCATCTTCATTGCGATAAGGCCTGTAGGAAATACGTGTGAATGCAGAACTGACAAACGAGAAGCTCAATAAACATACCAAATATTAGTGTCAGCGCCTCTGCGCTAGGAAGCAACCACGAAAAGACAACAAAGAAACGGAGGATACCAGGAAGCACGCTCATATGCCAACCAATGAGGAATCCCCTGACAGCGAAGAGGAATTCCAGTGCAACAGTGATAGCCGTCGTAACATAAAGAGCGTGAAGAGGTGCCCACGGGAACTTGGAAGAATGCTCCAAGAGCTGCAATGGACCACATCCCGCGGTTGATAGTGAGTGCGGCAAGTTGTTGCTGCAAGTTGAACGCCATAAGCTTCCTCTCTGAGACGTGCATCATCTGCCCAAATGATCAAGACTGTCACGATACCGTAGAGAGAGCCAGTAATTTGAATGAGGAATGACAGGTATGCAAGGTATCCTGCATTGCAGACGGAGTGATAGAGGTCAAAAAGTTGCGTGCTGAGTCCAGGGTCCATTGACATCACACCGACAGCCTTTTTGGGAGTAGCGGTGGAACGATCTGCAAGCCTGGGCCATGCAGCAAGTACTGTACGCTTTGCTAGACCTCAGTCCAATAGGGCACTATCAGCTTGAACGCCTCGAACCGGAACTCCATAGATGCAACCACTTACTACCCGTATACCTTTGCTCTGCAACATAATTACAAGTGGACGTTTCCGAGTGACCTGGGTCTTCTCTGGCTTCGTTATAGTATCTCACGAAGGAACTCTGCAGTCGTGGCTCTTCAATGGCCTCAACAACCTCATTGGATTTTCCCATGGAGAGAAAAATTGAAGCGATAACCCAGGTCTGGCACCATCCAATTGCCGCAATGATAGGTGTTGATAGCTGGCAGGAATAATTGAGGATGAAGTCTCAAACACTGTTCAACCACATGCTGCGAGTCGTGAAGCTGAAAGCTGAAAATCATGCACTGAAGAACTCAGGCCCTAAGGCCTGAGGCTTGAGTGTTGTTTAGTGCTCGAGAATTGATCGTGCCATCATTCGGGTCAAAGGAAGCTCCGCGAGTGGCAAAAATAAACCTTACTATTGCTAACCGTTCTGTGTTAATGAAGCTTTCGCAAGCGCATGACTTGCAATGCAGAGTTATGGGACTCGTATTCATGAAATATACATATGTATATGTTTTGATGAACCCGTGCCAGTGGGGAGCCAGGCACAGGACTGTCCGAGTCGCTCGAATCCCGGGGATATCGATATTGCAGCTAGAATTATCATATATCATGATCAATATCGATAATCACTAGCACCAACAGGACTCTCAGATCCACTATGGCGTGCTGTGACGAGCTGCGATGGAGGAGGTCATGCATGCAGGCAGCCACATGAGCATCTCACTTCCTGCTTTGCCCATATGTATCACCTTACCGTTGCTCTTGTAGTGGTGAGAGTTCCAATGAAACAAGGCGGAGGAAATCAACATACAATATCGCTCTTGGCTCTCCTGTACTCCAACTAGCATCAGGTCCGTCATCGCATGAGTACACTGGAACAACATTATATTTCAACATTGGGAGGCGATAACGGTAGCTTCTGCAAACAGTGAATGTCGCAAAATCCTACATCCTAACAATATATGCGCAGTGTTCTGGCGATGTCTGCAGTATATCACATGCCGCTCAGTCATCTTTGTCACTGTCCAATGCCTTGCGATCGACTTTGGGAACGATCAATCGAAAACTGGTGCTGCTCAATGACTGTTTTCTTGTTAGGTTTCCCTGCTAGATTGTGAGCAGTCACCTTTATTAGGAGATGTTGTGCAAACTCACATTGTCAGGGTGGGATTGCTAGAATTCATGAATTCTAGCCGAGGGACTATGTACCACGAGCGAGAAGTTTGTATTCGCTTTGGATCGGGCGAACACCGGTAATTTGGACGCGATACTGTAGATTTGGAGGTCGGGTGTTGACCGGGACCAGCCAAGTACTCTGTTCCAATCTCAATGCTCTTCTGGGTAACGTCGCAGAAAGCACTTCTCTTCACACGAGCGAGGACATGTGTCAAAAAGTGACCCATAACCGGTTTGCCTCCCTGCAATCCACTTATTGTCTCAGAAGTTGTTGAGCAGGAGTGTCGCGCCCCAGCACAACGAGTAATCTTCGTCCTGTTTGCTATCTGTAGATCCCCACAAGCATATGGAGAAATACTGTGGGAGAAATCCAACAGACTCCTTCATCAGAGAATCGATGAGTCCTTGATATGGTAGTCGCGGGAACTATAGAAGGACATAATTCTGCTCCCGCTAAAGATGGCTATGTATACTGGGAGAAATTTGAGTTGTCAATACATAGCCATGAATGTCTGAAAGTCTAGTTTACCATGAGGAGTTTTCAACCTTGTTGCGATATTGCACCATCACAGCAGGCAAGTTATAATAGTGTGGTTAGGTCGTACATCTTGACCAATACAATATTCCCTTTGTTACGTTTTGAACTACAAGATCATTTAAGACTTTATCCCGCAAATAGCCATTAGCGCTTGTCATCTAACCTAGATTCGTATGAGAGCTCCCGGCATGGTCACGACTTTTCTCCATCCTGGCTGGCAAGGTATGACAGTTTAATTAGGACCCACTTGTTAGGAAATGTAATATTCCCTCTTTTATGTTGTATTTTACAAGGCTTTCTCGTGAGATTTAAATATTGCTTCAATTGCAATGATGTCCGAGATATTATTTGGCTTCTATTTACACCGGATTTCTTCAGGTGCGTGCATATACCGCAAGTCGCAGCACCGTTTGCTACTGAGCTATAGTCTCTCCTAGTCAGACCAAAAGAGAAGAAAGACAGTTGCTTACAATGATATCCGAGATCATTCACTCATTATTTGGCTTCGACTTACATCATATTTCTTCAGGTGCACGCATATACCGCGAGTTGCAGTACTGTTTGCTACTGAAGCATAATCTCCCCTAGTCAGACCAAAAGAAAAGGAAGGCAGTTGTTCCCACCAACTCGGGTGAATGAAATTTGCAGTGGCCCGTGCATATGATTATATGTTAAGCTGAGTCACGGTATCGTATACTCAGGATGTCACTTATATACATAACGTACATATGGAACATGTGTAGGTCGAGAAAATGCTGGGGCGGTAACCCGAAGTTCAAAAAACAGGTGGTAGGATAATCGAACTGTGCGACGAATGCGAAATGCAAGCTATGAGTCAATGCAGAGGCAAGAACTCAAAGGTACCTAGGACAACAAGTGGTAAATAAACCAAGGATGTGCCGGTACCAGTTCACTGATGACCAAGCCACATTTGAAACTCAAAGTAATAACATAGGTCAACGACTGAACGCTGAGCAACAGCAGATTCTCGACTGCATCTTAGAAAGTGTTGTACAGCGCAGAAGCAACTTCTTTCTCGTCGAGGGAAAACAATTTTAGTCAAGGCATATAGAACGTGAAGAGACACAAACAGAGGACTGTCCAAGACTACATAAATATTGTATTTTGTGACTTGCCACTGTAAACACAATTGATTAGAAAAAAGACGACTGAAGGTGTGTCCTTGTGAATACTCAATGCAAAGTGGAGATTGAATGTGAGCACATGGCACAATATAGTCCAATCACAGCGATTCTGCGTCTAACTTGCACACTCAGTTAATTTGGACTTCTCTCATGCACCACAGGTGACCTCACCAGTACCCTGGATAGAGGAAAACTTCCCTGGATAGTGGAAAACTTCACCCGCACTGTTTCGTAGATGCGGAGACAGTTAGGGTATGGTGTAAGGAACTAAGCCGCGCCATGGTGGCAATTACTTTACTTGCATAAATGGTCAGATTCCCTCCAGTAAATACATCAAAGACTCACAGTAACGTCCCGATCGTAATGATCGCAATAGATAACCTCTTCGTCACTGTGAGGATGGCCATATCATCATGGCGGACACAAACCACATGGCCTTATCGATGAACAGCACTAGAATAAACATGAACAAACAATATGTATCTGGCGAATGGGTTCGAAGCCTTCTCGGCTTATAATTATGGTTTTACGTGGATTTATCTGATGGATCATTCTGGCAGTCTGTAGTACAGGTAGAGACGGTCCAGTTGGAAGGGTCGGGCAGGGCAGAAGCCAAGTACTAGTAGTAGTTTATGGTTGTAGTCAGAATCAGATTCAATAGTAGTAATACTAGCCTGAGGATCGTATCTGTAGTAGATAGTTGCCGTTACTCTGAGCCCAGTGCGGAAGCGAAAAAAAAATAAAAGACTCAAACCAAAAGCAGAGTGGTGCCATGCGAAGGTGAAACCAAGATCAAGATACGTAAGAATCTGGCCTTGCGGACACAGCGTCTTGAGAGTCGAGACTTTTGCCGCATACTACTAAGGTTTATACCTAGATCATACTGGTTCTCAGACGAAAATGCGTGATCGTGATGAGGTCGGAGTTCGAATCACAGAGGCGGGATCAGATATTTAGAATTTTGATTTTGTGTTGATAACGATGAATGATTTCCATTGGTTGAATACAAAAGTGGCTGTGACCAAAGCGAAGTACGTAGTACTACTATAACATGTGTCACTTCTTCTACTACAGAGAGTCACAGGAACGCACTATCAAAACTGGCTGCTCTCCCAGAACCCCATCAAGCTACATGTCTAAATAACCTTGAGAAAACGCTAAGAAGTCATCACCAAAATCTTCCCGCACTGCGGGTGCGTGCAGTGAGATCAATCTGGGATCTATAGTAGTAGTGGGTGAGGAAAAAGCTGTAGTTGACTGTGCAGTTGCTGCCAATGACTGACTCATTGGAGAGTGCATGGTCGAAGGCTGGGCAGCATCAGCTAGTGGTAGGATTAGCTCCTCTAGAGTCTCAGGGACATGAATGGGTGTGGTGTAGTAGTGTCATGCTCGTAAGTAATCCACGGCGGAGGCCTGGCTATGTTGCAGGTGCAAACCTGCAAGCTGTAATGCCTGCTGCACTATTTCTAGGTCCTCTGATGTAACGGGATTGTGTACTGGTTTCACAGAAACATCCAGACCAATTGCGCCATGAAGAGCCTTCCTGAAAAAGTATGAACATGACCCTGCATTCAACTAGTGACTCGGTAACTTACATGCCTCTTCCATGGAGAGCTATCAAATGTGCTGCCAATGCTGGCCCATGGATAGGAGACACCAGTGCCAGCAATATCGCTTGATGGACAGCGTCCTGGTAGTCGGCATGCAGCTCCATGCCAAAGCGGGCCGGTTTACCCGACACTGTGGTTTTCCCGCTCAGAGTACGCCGGATTGCTAAAATCATCTGAAAATTATGTAGAAGTTGACGAACGTACGTTAGAATAAAGATCTGACACTTACTGCAGCCGCCGAGTGTGCTAACATCTGAGTAGGGGTGGTCATCATCTGGTTTCGCATGTCCTCATCTCGGAGGGGTGTGTTTGGGGAACGATACCAATGATGTATATGCGCTTCTTCCATCCCAGGGTTCGCGAACAGAAGGACAAAGACCGACATGTTCGTGATCTCATGGCCATGTAGGTAATAGCTAAAGGGCGCCTCAGGATCGAGCACCTCACGCCGGCGGTTTTCCATATAAGTTTGACAGTCCTCAGGGGACGCTGCGGGATCTGACATGTGAAGGTATTGACAACCCACGAAGTTCTCAGAAGTTTGAGCAAGTTGTTTACGGTCATCCGAAAGAGCCTTGATGACCCACTTCACTACCTTGGAAGTCGTCTCTATATCTGAAGTTTGCAAATCAGTTCTGCGAGGTGTAGGCAGAGTGTAGTCAGTAGTACTACGTACCACATGCAAACTTGAGATTGGCTTGGCTGACAATCTCTGAAATATAGCCTATCACAGCCTTCTTTTGCACCTGCGTGGTGTTGCGAAGCCAGCCATTGGTGGTGACGGAGTTCAAAATGGCCTGCCTCTTCACCCATGTGAGGGCAAGCTGCTCGGTTGGACTGAAGTCCTTCAGCGGCTGTTTCTCGACCTTGGTGCTGCTAATCTCAGCTATACTATCCACCTGGGACGTCATACTAGCTGATGGCACTGAGGCAGACTTGGAGCATTTTGAACTACCACCGTGACCAACGCTGGCGATGCGCGAGTACGGATAGATACGGTGTGATTGGCCCGCAACAGCTGGCCGTGTGGTCGACCGCAGTCTAGTACAACTCGAAGGGTCGTTGGGGACATAATGTAAGGGTTCGAAGGACATGGCGAAGATAGAATGACCCGAGGAAGATGGAAAGATGGGGAGTTAAATAGTAATAATTCTATTAGCTGTGAACGGAAAGATATGAGGTTAGATCTTTAACACAAGTCCAAGATGAGATGGTAGGTGAAGTTGAGATGAGGTCTTCAGCCAATTTGGACTTCGTCCACCTCGTGCAAACTTACCAAGGTCCCAGTCATAGAGGAATAGTGCTCAAAATGTTTCAGGGATGTCATGGTAGAGTGACTTAGGGCATGGACACGTAAGCAACTAAGCACAATAGACGGTGATTACCTTGTTCGCATAGATGATGGTCAGATTTTGCCTTGACGATACTTACAGCTGCGATGGTGGGTTCATCCATCGTGAACCGATATAGGACGGCGATCTCTCGGATCTTCGAGTCATCCTCAACAGAGTTTGTCTGCAGGGGGAAATTTCTCTTGATTCTCCTGCTATTCAATAGGAAGGTTAGAATTGATTATTTAATCGACTCACCCAGTGAGGACATTCAGCGCCCAAATGTTCCCTGAAAGGTCACATTGATCAGACAGCTGGGCCGAGTCAGCTCGAAGTCGCGGCTGATGGAGACACGACCAGCACACGGGTGCGACCCCTATACATATTCCTTAGTTTGAATGAAATGCCCTTCTAAGCCGTTGCGGTGGTGACCTAAGCTTCAAGCTTCAGGTTCCACTAACTGTTCCATGATCAACACGGGTTCATAATTTGATGCTAAAAACTACATAGACGTACATGCTTAGGGAATATAGAACAAAACTATTCTTCCAAATCAGATGTACATGCTGAATCGCAAGGAGATTCAAGAGCCACCAGACCTGAATCGTCGGAAGAACTTTCAACCCAAGGGCCAATATCGCTAGGGTCAAACCTACATCCTTGACTCCCCACCGTCACACCCTGATCCTGAAGTAAGTTACGTATAGAGCCTATTTGCAAATCAATCCCCTTCAGCTGGGATTGGGACACCTCCGTCTCATCTTCAAGAATGGACTTTATCTGGTCCAGTTCGCGGGAGCGAAGACGTTGGTATCTTATTCTTGCGGCAATTGCCCGACGAGTCATGCGTGAAAGCTCGAGCATGCGCTGATTGAGATATTGTGTGGCTTCAGACGAGGGCTCAGTAGTACAATTCCACTGCGGGAGAAATATAAGAATCGGACTCAAGTTAGTGTTCAAAGGGACACACCGTTGTTTGGAGAGTCTTTAACCTCTTTGAAGGTAGATTATAATCTTGGTCGTGACTGCCACCTCGAGACAGGGAGTACTGAAAGGGATGCTTATGATGTCCTCTACCAACAATACTCTTTGTGGGAACTGCAGCGCTTGCCCCTTCGACTCGAAGGGTATGTCCGTTGACTTGAGGAGCGTAGTTTTTGACAGCAGTGTGTGAGGATAGTGGAGTAGGGGGGTTGCCCTGGGGAGGGGAGCTATCGGGTGCAACAGACGTGGGAGGCATGGACACTGACCTGCAGAAATGAGTGGATGTGCTGCGCGCATGGTTAAATGAGCAAACCTTGTGTTTCTGAACGAACTATTGGTGGAGAAAAAACTACTGCACCTTGATGCTGAGGAGTTACCACTCATGCCCGCTGGCTAACGGTGTGGTTGACTCTGAAATGTGTGAGAACTTTTACTGGTACGATTGATTCTGAATGGTCGGCAATGCCCGACCACGGAACACCTCTGTTACGTGAGAAGATGATGCCATCACACACCACTGCGGCAAAGCGTATTCACTGGTAGGCACTCACCTCGCTAAGAAATGAGACGACGGACATCGTGAATGACTTCCTTGGAGTTGAACAAGCTGGTTAAGGTAAAGGTAGAGGCCTTCGAGCTTTTAGAGTGCGTGACTCGTCCATCCCAGGAGTCCGAGTCCGAGTCTGAGATAGGCTGGTAGTACTATCACAGCTGTCATGATGACCATGCTTTGACTCACAGTTTGAAGGAACTTGGACTCGGAGCGACCAGCTTCAACTTGAACCCCTCGAAAATCGCCAGAATCCGTGACTGCAGCCGCCAGGATGAGAGAAGCGTCGTTGCAATGAACGGTCACGGTGCTGCTGTGGCAACTTGAACTTGAAGGACTCATTGGTTCTCTGACTCGGACTCGATGATATACCGCAATGATTGCGATGATTTTGGGAGTTCAATATAGGGCTGCCACAAAGTCCCTTTAGACCATGACAGCCCATACCAGTGCGTCTCAGACAATGATTCATACTGTCAGCATGCAGGGAGGAGTGCAAAGACTCTAAGTCGAGACCATCGCGATGTCTGAGTCAGTGTGTTCCAGAAAATACCAGTGTCAATTGAATTTTGGGCTTTAAGCATGCCAGTGATGCCGCCGGCAGGCGTACGGCGCCGACTCAAGTTCGCAAGAATGTGCTACCGTAAGTGCAGTACAAAACAAGTAAGTCAGTCAAACAGAACTCCGAGTTTATCCCGTAATTGACATCTATTATACTAGTAACGTGTGTCAGGGCCTTAAACCACTGGAGTGTCTGCCCCGAGTTGAGCAGACGCACCTTCACTTCCAGAGCGTGACGATGCGCCTGGGTTTTGCAGGATCATATCTTTTCAATTGGTTCATCGTCATTCTACTCAGCTCAGGCTTCCTATTGATGGCACTGTGTGGTGCTCTGGGTTGCTCTTGGGAGAGGGCAACGGACACCCGTGGACTCAGCAGGCATCGTACATCATGCCACTTCTACAAGAGGTCTAGTGTTCTTGCAACTCAGAAGAGGCAAGAGCATGCCAAAGAGGCTGTCTCCGCAAATTTGGCTGCCAATCTACCTCAGTCAATGTTTTTGCATGTGAGTGGTGGTACTAGCTGTCACCATTGTCCTTAACTTATGTGAACTGGGACGTCAGAGAATTGGCCGTCCAAAGCCAATTGCCCCCTGCGGCCCCCTGCTGGCAGAGAAAATGCCGGGGCCTGTTGCTGCCGTTTTAGACACTTCCGGCCTCACAGACTTGCAGCACTCTGTTCTCCCAGGACATGCACATGATGACACTGACTGTGCGATGGATGTTGACCGCGGGGACCTCTTGGATGCCTCTGGTTTGTGTTTCTCTGAATGCCGTACCAGTTGTAGCTTTCTGACCCCTTCAATACCTGCTTCAGACCAACCAGCGCGCCCTATAAGAAAAATTCCAAGGCCTTTTGTTGATGTTGAGCCCTCGGTGGAGGACCTCAATAGCTCTGATAATGTCAATCATCGTGTCTGTAGTGCTTCGACTCAAAACTCGGGCGCCCTGCCAGCTCCAGCAAGGATCCGACGTGTCCTTCTAATGCTCCGAGATAAACTTCAAACTACCCTCAACTCTTTCGGTCTCTACAGGCTGTACCCCCGTCGTCCCTCATTTGAGCCTGATAAGTACATTTCATCATCGTTGCTTGCTAGAACGTGCCCTACCCCTTCTAGAGGAACCGATGCTCCGCCGCAGGTCTTCCCTCCCCCTTACCCCTTCGCGAATATGACGGTCTATCGGCTCATGTCCTGGATGAACTCTGGCAGCAGCCGGGTGTCAGAAACTAAGGTTGCCACCCTTGTCAAGGACGTCATTATGGCGGAGGGTTTTGACAGCAAGCACCTTCAGGGGTTCTCTGTGAGGCAGAGCTTGCGAAAACTCGATACAGATGAGGGGGGGAAGGGAATCACTTTTCCTGATGACTGGGTGGAGACCGATGTCAGCATCAACATTCCAACTAAGGAAAAAGAGGCTAGCCCTATGTCTTATTCGATCCCTGGGTTTCATTTCCGCCCTCTCATTGAAGTTATACGTGCAGCATTTGCAGATGCTCAAGCAGGGGTGTTCCATCTTTTTCCTTTCAAGTGTCTGTGGAAGGACCCTCTGGATGGCCGTCAGGAGAGGATATACGACGAGCTCTACACCTCAGATGCTTGGTTGGAAGCTCAGGACGACCTCCACAAGTTGCAAAAGGAGCCCGGGTGCTCTTTGGAGCGGGTGATCGCAGGCCTAATGTTCTTCTCCAATGCTACTCACCTTGCAAATTTTGGAACCACAAAGGCTTGGCCGCTTTACGCCTACTTCGGAAATTTGACGAAGTACATACGCTTGTCACCAACATCAGGATCCTGTCATCTCATAGGATTCCTACCTTCGGTGAGCTCATTTGGATTGCACATTTCTTGACTATTGGTGACGTTTGCCACACTCATTAGCTTCCTGATAGCATCAAAGACCTTCTGAGCAGCTTGCCTCGCATATCAAAGACAGGCTTGGCCTCCCTTCACACTCACTGCTGCAGGGAATTGTTCCATGCCTGCTGGGAAATTTTACTGGACGACAAATTTATTTATGCATACAGACATGGTTTTGTTTTGAAATGTGCTGATGGAATGATGCGGAGGGTGTATCCTCGAATATTTACATATTCTGCGGATTATCCTGAGAAGTACACTATTCACTGTCTGTTGAAAATTCAGCTCATAAATTTCTAGGGCTCTGATCGCCGCTATCAAGGACATGGGCTCCTGTGCATGCCCTCGCTGCATGGTACCAAAAGGCTTATTCAGCTGTTTTGGTCTGGTGAAGGATATGAAAAGCCGGATAACCAACCTTCGGCTGTATGCTATGTCCAAGGTTGTTAGGGCTTGTGAGATTATCTATCGGTTAGGAAGTACCGTAGACGGTGCAAGGGTGGAGGACGCCCTTGGACAAGGTTCATGGGTGCCTATTCTGGTAAGTGTCAGTTCTGCCCCCGTTATGATTAGCTCAAACCAGTGTCGGCAGAACCAGTTTGTCAAGAAGCTTGGACCGCTTGGCCTCGATCCATTCCGTATGTTGGTCGTCGATATCATGCACGAGTGTGAGTTGGGCACGTGGAAGGCTCTACTTACCCACCTCGTGAGGCTTCTCTACGCCATTCCAGGGGGTTCTCGTTTGGTGGCAACCCTAGATGCCAGGTGCGTGGAGTCCATACGGAGTGTTGCTGCCAATTAACTCGTCCTAGATTTCGTCAAGTTCCAACATTTGGCAATGGGGTAATTCGCAAATTTTCCAACAACACCTCTGAGATGAAAAGGTTAGCGGCTCGCGACTTCGAGGACATTTTACAGGTGAGTTTATTCTACGTAGTTTTACGCACAGCTGAGGCATTCCCCAGTGCGCCATTCCAGTTTTTGAAGGGCTATTCCCCCCGAATCATGACCTGGCGGTGTGATCTCTGCTATATAGATTCGCGCAATGGCACGCACTCGCAAAGCTTAGAATCCACTCGGATTCTACCCTCGTTTTTTTTGAAGATACATTCAAGAAACTCTCCCAGAAGCTGCGGAGGTTTCATGATCACACTTGCACTGCCTTTACTACTACAGAGTTGCCGAAGGAGAAAGCAGCTCGTCAAAAAAGGTCTTCTCAGTGCCCTGAAGCTCACAATCCCCCTCCAGAATCGAGCGGGGCCAGGGTGAAGAACTTCAACTTGAATACTTACAAGTTTCACGCCATGGGGGACTATGTGAGAACCATCAGGTTTTTTGGGACCACCAACTCATTTACTACCCAAATTGTAAGTATCAGTTGAGTTTCATTCTTCCAAAGCTAAAGTCCACGTGCAGGGAGAGCTCGCACACCGAGCTCTCAAGGCATTCTATCCACTGACCAGCAAACTGGACACCCCTGCGCAGTTGGCCAAACATGAGCGCAGGCGCCGCGTGCTGCGAAGGGTGGCAGAAACACAGGGCTCATTGCCCTCTATTTGTCGATTGCTCGCTAACTCAGACACGCCTCTCTCTGATCACCACATCGCGGCTGGTCAAAACCATCCAATTACTCTATTCAAGTTCCTTCGGCTTCATGAAGGTGATCCGGCCCTCAAAGTAGGTCGCACTAGATTTATAAAATGCCTTACTTATAGTGATTGTCAGAGGTTCATACCCAAATTGAAGGACCACATTCTTTACCACCTGCGCAAGCTGAATGTCAGCTACTGTGACCACGTGTTCACAGATGAGGAGAGGCACTCAGTCATCATCCCTAATGACACCATTTACTCTGTCCAGACCATGCAGGTGCATTACACCACCTATGATATGAGGCGAGAGTATGATACCATCAATCCTAGAACGCACGCTGACCTCATGGTACTTTCCGGCGAGACGAAGCCCGACCACCCATATTGGTATGCCCATGCACTGGCTATCTACCATATGGAAACCTGGATCAACGACAGGGGCAAACCTGTGAAACATCACCTGGAAGTTCTCTGGGTTAGGTGGCTGGCGCCAGTGAGGAGTCATAAGTCTGGCATGAAGCATGCCCACCTACCAAAAGTTGCCTTTGTTGAGGAGTCTGACGCGGATGCATTTGGGTTTCTTGATCCAGCGCAGGCGATTCGAGGAGTGCATTTGATTCCAGCCTTTAATATGGGACGTGGCACTAGTTCACTTCAAGGTGGAATGTCCCTGGCACGCCCTGAAGGAGAGCTGGATGATTGGGAGGCTTACTATGTTGGGATGTGAGTAACACTGTTAGTTCTTGTAATGGTGCTCCTTAACCTCTAGACCAGCTTTGTGGACAGAGATATGTTTATGAGGTATACTCACCTTGGTGTAGGGCACCCGGCAACGCTGCGCAGGATGGCTAGGGACTCCCTTGGCACTGAGTTTCTGGGCAATGGGGCAGGCGTGGTAGGCGGTAGCGATTGTGAGGACGACGATGGTGAGGGCTATGAGGGATATAGCAATAATGACGAGACTGAAGATCAGACAGATGAGGAGCTTAGTGAAGATGGACTGGAGTGTGAAGGTGAGGGACTTGGAAGCGACGATGGCTACGAGGAGGAAGATGAGTTTGATGACCTACTCTCCTTTTAAATTCTCAAAAAACTAACGAGCACTGGACGCATAAACTTTTCTAAAGGTCTCTTTGCAAAGCTATGGCACTTCTCTACCATTTTTGTAATAGAGCACTTACATAGGAATCACTATGTGACTGATATTGGGGCAATTGGTGGTCAGTATGAAGGTATCTGTCAAATCCTTCGAAAGATTCAGCGATTTCATGATTCATTGGAGTATCGGCTGTGGCAAAGTTGCCGAGAAGAGGGCGACAGGAACATCAACCGGGAGTTGCAGCAGTACTTCAGCAAGCTTGCCATATGCTGCATAAAACTTAACATAGCAAATATTATAGAGTCTGAACGATGGTAGACGCGTTGTACTAGTACATGCAATCGAGTATGACCAGCACGACCGGCACCTGCTAAATTTCAAACTCCTCGCTCGTTGTGGCGGTTACCTTGATTGAACCGGCCACAGTCTAGAACCGGACCCTGTTGGCCGCATGTCGGGCCAAGCCTCAGAACATATTTGATTTCCTCCAGTCATTGTTTCATTATATTCTTTAATCACGGGCACTCTACTCACCAGTATATAAACCGTACTCTGACTGTAAAGTTCCCTTAGTTCTTTTCCAATCTACCCGGACTGCTTCTGGCTCCTCTCTACCTCCCAGATCTCGTCGCGCAGCCACAATGCAGACGCTTGCCAAACGAGCGCACAAAATCAAAGACACGAGACTTGTTGGACGCCGAACATGTGCTCAAACTACCTCGATGGACCAGTCGCAGCCGAGTCAACAGAACCACCACTCGGATGAATTGGACATCACAATGAGTGATGATTTTGACAATTTGGTATGTCTGTCCAGTGAACACGTTGAACTATGCACTAATAACTATCAGATAGATGATGTACCCATGCCTCCCAACAATTTCGCTGATCGGAACGAGCCTCCCGTCCCCGATAATCATCCATGCATACCTCCTGACGATTGACGGTCACTTTAATGGTGGGTTCATGATGGATACAGCTGCGTGAGCAACTTCAAGTTGGACGATTAATAAAGTCATGCCATTACTAGTACTGGTAGGCTACTTCCACGCATCCAGATGAGTTATCTACCTATTTAAACATTCCTTTTACTAGACGCATGCTATCTACCGGCGTCTGGTAGCGACCACCCCCTCCAACTTTTCAATTGCTTGTTACAGACCTTCAACTTGCGTCCACTGTGGGTGAGCTTCCCACCTTGAAAACTCCTCCTCGTTGGATGGTGGGGGTGGGAAGGGATTGTGCACTTGGTTGAACCAGTCCAGCATATTTCAGAGCGCTGGGCTTGGTTTGGCTATAGGTTGGCCGGCGCCAGTTGCAAATCCGACTCATCTTCACTCATAGAGCTGCAGGGCTTCTGAGTCTTCACAGTAGCTTATAACTCGTTACTTATAACTGTACCGCCATTGACTATGGTTTTTTTTATTTAGGTCAGATGTTGTGCTTTAATGGAGCAGTAGCATCATCATGCAAGTCTCCGCTCAGCCTGACTCACCACAGGAAAACCACGGCCAAGACTCGGAAAAATTGGATGCCAGGCGCGAGTTACGAGAGAGTCGGAGCTGAATTATGATAGGTGTGTCACGTTCTAGTCCATATTAAGCAACTCACTGACAGAAGCAAGCGCCTGAAGCCTTGGACGGGTACCGATGCATATTTCTGCTGACTTGCTTAAATGGTCATAGCAGGAATGACTACGTATAAAGCAGGCATTTGTTGAGTTTGTTTCTTTCCATCACCCTTCACTGCACCTCTGACTCACTCCTCGTCTTCTCTTGTAGCACATCCAGCAGTACCCTCCTCCCCTCCATGGCTGAAAGCAGTACCTCAGGCTTACCTGCCGACATTGGTAGCCAGCCAAACAATCATGACCACAGCGTTCACGAGGCCCTAGAAGCACAACGAGCACACGCAGAGTCAGCGTATGTGCAGGCTCGGCAGAGACAGAGAATTGCTGAGCTGGAGGGCAAGGTAGAGATTCTGGAGTCAGGGCGCGCAGTGAAAGAGAGGCATGGCTCATGACCACGCGCATTGGGACCGCTTTACTCACCGTCCAGCAGGCACAATAACTATTACTTAGCTCAAGGAAGAGCCATCAGGTGCGTTGTCACTCTGTTCGACAGTATAGAAGATTTGGTGACTGAAAACGACAGAAGATATGAGGACGATGGTGATGAGGATGCTACTCTGGAGTGAGCTCCTTCACCCCTGGCTTTTCATGGCGAGCTTACTTATCAGTTTCTTTATGCAGTCAGAACCGACTACAGGCGGGGTACAGTGCCCTAGTGGGAGCCTTGCCTTGGCTTGTGAAAAAGGCGACGGAAATGGATTATGACGACTATGCCTGTTTGATAAAAATGGTATGCCACTCTACCATCTGAGTAAACGACTGACTGAACCTTCTTTTAGCTTAGGCAGGGGGCCGACAGTGCTCGGGGAGATGATATGGCAAAGCTTAAAACACTAGTTTCAGACTGGGTCAACTCAGAGCTGAGGCCAAATCCCCCAGTTGAGTCTGACGACAAACACTATTGTGGATTTGTCAATGACACGTGTGGGAGGCTACTATGCCCTACTGAACTTGACTGGAGAAACCCTGTGTAAGTTAAGTGGCTGGCACACGACATTGCACAACTCTGACTCTTTACCAGGGTAAAGGCAGGGATTCGAGATCATTCAGAGGGTTATACTGTGACCGATCTTTCCTTTCCAGCCTTTGTGTATGAAAAGTATGTTGCCAACCCTGACAATCTGGAGGAAGGTATCTTCAAGGGTAAAATTCTGGTACAGGTTTGTCGCACCCAAGCTCCCCAGTCACCGCCTTACCATGCTAGCAGGCTTACAAGGCTGTGTTCACGTCTCCCTCCTCAGCAAAGGATGTAGAGGGCGATGGTGATGGCACGGATGTCATCGAGAACAACCGACGCGCTAAGAGAGCGTTCTCAGCAATCAAAGTCAAGAAGCACGTTGCCCAGATTATCCAGATGGACAAGGTTACTCCTCGCTCAATTGCCTACATCGCTTGCCAAGTAAGTCGTCTTGCTAAAGCTTCTCACAATTAACCAGTTAACGTCTGCACTGGCAGGTGCGATTCGCGCTTTCTTCCATCACCTCATGGAGGTCGGTGGATGGTGACTTCGACTACATCCAATTCTGGAAGACAGTGGTGGACTTCTTTGAACGCGCTCCAGGTCGAGAATCACAGCGCAGGGTCAAGCGACTCCTGGAGTGGTGGACAAGGTACAGTACCCTATGTCCTGAACGAGCCACAACTGATAGGCTGGCCCGGGCTTTTAGAAAAGTTTTTGGAAGAAATTGTCGTGAAGAACTTAGCAGCACGGCAAAGGCCAATCTGTCTGTGAACATGCTTGCTAGGCAGCGGGCGCAGCTCGATGAAGCTGCTTTCGATTCTGACTAGGAATCTACCTATCTACTTTCTTCGTATCGTCCTATTTTCAAGTAGTTATAACTCCATACCACACAATTTATTGTCAATGTTTATAAATTGAACGTGCTGAATACACCTATGGTATCACAACCTGTCATTTTGCATCGACGAGTGAAGATTCGCAGATGTGGTTGATGGCTACATAAGATATCCAGAGGTCAATGGAAGCTACAGTCGCTGGAACCGCTCGTTTGTTTGCAACAATGCAAAACAAGGAAATACAGATCAATCAAGTTAGTTTCTACCATTTCTAGTCCCTGTGCCAACTGATGTGCAAGAAGGACTGGATTTGCAGGGAAAGCAGCTGACAGTCACGCCAAATTCAAGATCCTGTGATGTCCCTTAAGGTAGTGAGTAGCACTCCCTTCTGGCCCTGGGCTGTCATTTTGTTTATTAAGTCACTGCGGAGAAATCAGCTGGTCTCAGCGCATGGTCATGACTTCTAGGAGCGCACTGGCGAGCAGCATACAGCCGCTAGCCATCACTCACACAAATCTGATCACACGAGCGCTCGAAATATGGTATAAGTTGTGTTTGTCCCACTTCCTAAGCACATGCTGACTGTTGCAAAATGATATGACATTTTCACACGCATTCCCAATCGATATATAGTATGCAATCATCACCAAAACGAAAATCAGGTTCTTAATAGCTAAAGCAGGGCAGAATTTTAGGCTTGCTCACTTGGCGAACATGCTCGTATCCTCTGGGAAATACGAGCCCTCGCTCTTAGTTTGAAATTCTTCGGCATTGGTCAGGATGCGGCAGCCTTGGTTCATCTAGGCTGACCGCCAACTTCCGCTCCACCTCCCTTGCAACTTTGAGTTTCAGTGACATCGTGATGCTTTCCACACGATGAACCTCTGCAGGAAGATTATGCATTATCCTTTCCTCTATATAGCCAAAAATGACAATCTGATCCCCCATAGCAGAATTATGACGGTTTTTCTGATTACGTACTATATATTGTGATATATACTCTTCTACAACTCTCACCGGTTCACTGATGTTAGATCACCAATACTGGGAGGAGACAAGAATCTGGTATTGACACACACCGAGATCGCACAGTACTCTCTTTTGAAAAAAAGATGCAAGTGAAATGAATTGTTATCGTTTTTGCAATGGAGGTGCTGGCCCATTAGTACACCTCTTGTGTTGATGATGTCTCTCCTGACTGCCAGTTGCAACCGCTGGTCGATCTGCCATAAAATGATCAACGAGCCAAAAATCTATGACGAGCAGAGAGTGGTTAGCGTGTTAGACATTACAGTAAAAAAGTGCTCGCCTCGTTCGAAATAATTGATGGGTCCTCATACATTTATGTAAACCAACGAAGGCTGAATCGTGTGAATTTGTTGCAGACACTTTGATTCGCACCTCATGAGCGCTACACTTGATACATCCAAAATGGTTATAGCTGGCCTAACATTAATATTTTATTATCTAGGACCTGAGGCCTCGAGGCCTGATGGGCCACCGTTACGCCAAGCTCCAAGTAGGACACTCGTGATTCGCCGTTCATTTTGCGCCTGGTAAACCTCACTGCTATTAGTAGCGCTCAATGTTTGCTCAACTCCCACCCATCCCATTCATGAGAACATGAGTGCTAACACAAACAACCTCTCTTTGACTCCACAGACCATTTATGTCAAACATGCGATTCATCCAGAGAGCGGTGATTCCTTCCGCGCTGTAGCAGCTTCCACTAAATCTCTCAAAGCAAGCCAGAAGGACTTCGGCGTACAATGTACGCAATGTCAAACGAAATTGGAGAAGCCTTTGAAATGCGCAAAGGTGGTGGTCAAATATTTGAATACTCTTTCAGCCATTAATTGAGTGTTGCAATATGCTTTTAGTGTAAGGGCGTCTGATATTGCTCAAAAGAGGTATGATTTCTGACTGAAATGACACTGAAGTCTGAAGGGTTGTGTGCCTTCTTGTGTACAGTGCCAAAAGAAAAATTGGTAAGAGTTCTACCTATGATTAAACATATTGGGCCTCACTCTACATGGGCTCGATAATAGGTCCACCCACAAACCGGCATGCCATGAGGTCGAACGCTCCTCGGGGGTATTCAAATTCATACAAATGTTCGGTGTAAACCCGGTGCTCATGGGGCTCCTCAAAGTCGCTATCATCTTTGACTGTGGCCTGTTCGAGAATCCCCGGATCGGATTCGATGTCATCAGCAAAAAACCCCTTTTAATATTGGCGAAAATTGGATCATATTTTGTAAAACATAGAAAATCATGTACCGTTTTCCAGAATGTGCGTCAATCCAATCCAATATTCAGCAAATTTGACTAATGTGTTAACAGGGCCACAGAATTCGCGCAAGTGAGGGAAAATTGTTTGGTACATTGGGAGTACTAGTACTCGTTTTCTCGAATGTGATCTTATTATACTAATTTACGTATGCCGTGAGCAGCAAGCTGGACTTCCAACAGATGAGCCTTTCTTGCCTCCTCACACCGCTTGATTTCAGCATCCCAACGATCTGCCACAAGTCTACACATGTAATTTTGAGAGACAGTTAAAGGGGCCAGAGTTTGACGGTATGGTGGAACAGGAGTTTCAGGTATTTCTGTCACAGGGGTAGCGCTAATCACAAATTCTGGCAATGGAAATCTGCAGATCAATGGTTTTTTAATCCTTGTCACTTGGTAAGAATCTGCTGACACGATGATATGATCAACGACTTACTTTTTGATGGGTGAGACTGGTGCCTTATGTTTGCCAAAGTCCAGGCCTGGGGAAGGCGAGCACGGGCTACAAGTCCACTGGCAGTGAGAATGAATGATCTTACCCTCAGAATCAACCAACCATTTCCTGGGACTTATATTCTCTTTCTCCGCAATCCAGTCCTGCAAGTTGGTCAGTTAGAGTATCTGTAGCTTAGAAGTGGAACCTGCGCACCATAAATATATCCAACAAGACACTTGATACACGTAAAACACGAGCAGATGATAGTCAAAGAGATTGAATCGACATGGAGAAAAAATTTGCACACCAAGACCGAACCGTGAGAAACCATCTGTCAATGCCTAGAGACCCAATATCAGTCATCGGCCGGGCCATTGAAGTGTGTACAACAAGCCTTTTATTTAACTAGAATACAGTTACATATGCATCTCGGTCAGTGAAGTTGTTTACAAAAAAAGTGCTACACCGGTCTAATACGTTGCTCGTAGTCCATTCACGTGGAGCTACTGTCCCGAACTTGGGTATTAAGTGAATGGACCGTCGAACATTGCGAATAGGGACAATGCTGGATTGCCTGTCACCATCATAAAGTGCGCGTGAAACCTTATACATTCCATGGTTAATGTCTGGTGCAGTGAATGGTGTGAACCATTCGACGTAAGCAAGGTGGTCAGGCACATTGACATTGCCAAACAGTGCACGTTTGACATTGGCCGACAGTGAGAAGACCACGTGAACTTGCGCAACACGATATCCTGCAAGTCATTCGTCAGCCGAAGTGTCCCTGCATACACACATCAAGACACTCATCTTCAACACCCATTTTTCCGCCATTGCCCAGATTTACAAGTGCAGTATCAAACCTCGCTGGAACTTTCCTGTTGTGGCAGTCATGTCGGGCAGGTCTCGCATGGATTGCGTCAACGGTGACATTGTTTAGCATGCCATCATCACCCACAGTACTATAGCGGACCTTGTGGAATACCGCAACTGACTGGAATGGTAGATTGACATGGCAGGCAGCCTCTTCAGACTGCCTCACAGTCAAATCAGGCTGTGTCACTTGCACGACGAAACGAGCCACAGCAGCTTGAAAATGTACAGCACCATACTGCTCAGCTAGGGACGCAAATGTCACCCGTTTAACAGATGGGTTTTTTGTTAGCTTTGATTGTCGCAGATATACAAGGTCGGAGTGGGGTAGGGGATGACGCGATTGAGGGACATGAGCTGGGGCAGCACCATTGTGTAGACGCCATTGAATAAATTTATCGTGCCACAGCATCTTCTCTCGTCGCTCGAGCCAGAGGGTCATTTGCATGTATTCGTCCTTGTGATTTGTCGCGCAGTATGCATCCTTCGCTAGATCAATGTGAAGTTGTTCTGTATATTTAGTGTTATAATTGTTAGTGGTTCCGAACATTCGAATCATCGTAACGTAGTGTCGGAAAGAATGGAGCTTTGGGAGGTTGAATGATGATCGGATACCTAGATCCACAAAGATAGACTTGTTGTCGTGAAATCGGTTCAGTGCACCACTCAGAAGCTCTAATGTCAGATCCGAATGACATGGGTACTGCGCGAGATATAAGAAGTCGAGGAGGCCTCGAACTGCGCGAATCAGTCTAACAGGGGATGCCCCATCAGGCAAACAGATGTCAATGATTAGGCCCAGAAGAAAGCGGCATATTTGCTGGTGCTCCGTACCGCTTACTCGCGACAAAACTGATATACCTTTCATAAATAGGCGGATATTGTGATTCGGAGGCAAACATTTGCACCGCGCATCAATTTTGGCCTTGCCGTAAGCTGATTTGATCCAAGAGATAAGGTGTTTGACAAGGCCTTGATATATTTGGTGGAGAACGTCGGGAGTGATTGCATTATATATATTACAGTGCGGGAGTCCCTCCCAGAAAGGATGATAAAGTGGTTTTATTCCTGAAATGAGTGCAAGAGTCAGAAACGGGTAAAACATAGTCAAAAAACCTTACCTGCATCTCGACAAGCCTTGGTGAATTGAGTCGGATCTTCATCGACGAGAGCGAGTGCATGTAAGATTTGATCCAAATCACGCATCTCAAAAGGTAGATCTTTGCTCCCAAGCTCCGTCGAAGGTATATCACATTTCGGACACTCTCCAGTCTTCATCCCAGTCACCAAGAGTTGCTCTGGGTAATCTCCAATATAACAGGCCAAAAGAGGGTGACCACGACGAAGGACTCCATCACCGCTGGCTATTGACATCCCATCCTTGCCTGGCACAATGAGTGGCTCAACAATGTGACGGACACATGCGTGAAAAAGATTCGCAAGACAACGACGCCGTGCTGCTTTGTTGGTGATGTGCTCCAGCTTTGTTGTGGGAAGATAACCAACAAGTATCTGCGCGTTACGAGAGGGTTGTCGTCGTATTTCTTTGGGGAGGTTTCCGATAGTCATGTAAATTGGGTACGCTGACTTGTTTCGAAACATCGTGACTTGGGTCTTGTCCGATGAGAGCAGGATGGGGATTATAGTTGCGCCAGGTTTTTCATTTTCGAGACGTTTCTATACATTCAACTCAATTAGTGCAAGGCCCCAAGTCATGTATTAGTTCTCTCACCTGCGTATGCCACCACCAATTGCCTGTATACATATCATGATATATCCTCTGAGTCTTGTCCTCATCGGAATAGTGTCGTTCGGGGGCAAATACCAGGTGAGGTGCAAGTTCCGGATCTCCGAACAGTGCCTTGACGCATTGTAGGATATCCCGAAAGTATACATCAAAGGCCTCGCCAGCAACCAGGATCTCCTGGCGCCTAAAACAAGGACGGTGGGCAGGGATTTTGCTGTCGATAATGTGGTTTAGCTCGCGAGAATTCCTGTAAGAGAGGCCAAGCCGTTCGCAAACCTGTTGAAGTCAGTACCATAGTATTGCCAGAGAAAACATAAATTCACACCGTCAATGTTAAGTAGATCTGAGAAGGCAGTCGAACCTTGCCCCCTCAGCTTGGCCCACTGGGCAACTTCATAGTCAATATGTGAGGTGAACGGGGCCCAGACACAGCTAATTCCATCTTCACTCATCTTTTCACCATACGACTGATATCCATTTTGCTCACTAACAATTTCATCAATTGTGGCTCCAGCAGTGCGAAGCGGAAAGGTTGCAATATGAGGGTGATGGTCCAGAGGAAGTTCGGCTTCGTGACGACGAGTGCGTTGGCCATCAATGTCGTCGTCAGCATTGCCTTGTTCATCCATGGGAATATTCTCATTCATCTCCGGTTCTTCGGCACTTTGCATACTAGGAGGTTCCCAATATGTCTCTTGTTCAGCCACTCCACCTTCGCCCTCAATTTCCTCATCTTCATCGTCATCACCCACCACCTCAACATCATCTTCATCGTCTACAGGCCATTCAAGGTCGTCCGGTGTAGTATTGAAAAAATCACCTTCAAATAGGTGCGGCCCATCATCATTGTGCAGCCCATCATCATTGGTGGGCTTGGTGCCAGTGTTTGCGTCAGCATTGTGCGACAACAATGCAATAACGATATACCTGTGGTGAGTGACCTGGACTGCTAGGCATGTAGTTGCGCATGTCCTCGTAGATGCTAACACAGGCAGAATTCCTGGTTTGTGCAAGGTGACGTGAGTACCCACTCTCACTAAATGTGCAACCACAGCCATCACAGACTGGCATGGTGCTGTGGCTGCAGCGGTTTCAGTGGCTCTGGCTGAAAGTATGTCGGGATATAGCGGAACCTCGGAACCTCGAAGTCCAAATTTGTAAGTGTCAATGTCAATTTTTTCAGTTGCACATCCGACTGACCCAATTCTCTTTTTCTCTCACTCTATCAGATCTTTTCAATGTCGACTCCGACCGAAAAGGCTGCTGCAATGGGTGCAGCCAAGCTGAAGAGACGTGTGGAGGCCACCGCTACTCCAGAAGTGTTGGCTTCCCAGTCTGCTCCAAGTCGTACGTTTTCTCAGTGTCGCTTTGTTTTTCTAATGCACCTGAACATCTGGCATAAAGGACCCTCCCGACAATCCAAGGTCACAGCACTGAAAAATCAAGGTGCACATCAACGGCTGTCTGAGTCGAGCCACATCTTCTGACTCACTTGAGCAAATTACAGTTTGGATGCCAGACAAGAAGACACGAAAGCGGGCCGCATCGAGCACGGCTGAGCCTGAACATGCCAAGCAGGCACGAACCTGTAAGTTTCATCAGAGTTTGGTCTATTGTGAACTCACACTGATTTATTATATGCCATAGCGGGCCCAAAAAATACTGACCCTGTGAACAGAAAACGGAAGAGCAGTGTTCCACAGCCAGCGGCGCAACTTTTCGAGTCTGACTCAGACGACTTCAAGGTTGATGGAAGCGATGGCGCCGAATCTGATTCTGGAGCCGAGTCAGACGACAAACTCGACGAATCAGATGATGACAGTATTCTGGGACTCATTGGTGACAAGCTAAAGGCTACCCTAGACTATGAGGTATGTGCTATTGTTATCGATGATTTTACATCTGAGTGTCTTCATTATTTGCATAGCGTCCTCAAATTACTACACATAACGACGGTATGTGACAACCTCCTCCTACCAGTACTTAAGTGACACTCTCATTTAGACAGCCGCAGTGCGGCTTCATCATTCAGCTCAATCCCCCCTAGTACATCACCGGACTCTGACAATGACGACCCCGTTCGTACCATGGACTCTGCTGTGGAGGATATAGGGCCCGGGAACAGTCAGCTTACTAACATGAAGAAATCCGGCCCTCGCTATCGCTCTTCCAAGCTGAAAGAGACCAGTAAGGCCAATCAGAAAGGGGCGCTGTCAAAAGGAAGTAAATACCTGAAGCAAAGAGAACAAGAGGTGAATGAGTCTCGTTGATTCTCTTGAACATTCACTCACTGCACTCGTTGTTTCAGAAACCAACTTGGTGCACGCCAGACAAGGTTGATGACACCACCAGTGGGCCACCTGCAGATGACGAAGCAGTGTCAGCGCGGTCTATTCGTTCACGCGAAGATGACTGGTTGCCTTGTCGCATCGTATATAGCAGTTCCGGTAAGGTCAATTTAACCGAGCAGCAACCTCACATCCAGGACTTGCTGCGGGCCTTGATTACCTGCCTTCACGAGTACATCCTCTTCGAAAATGCGTACTTGGACCTCCAGCAAAGGAGGAAAATTATGGCCGACATACTCTTGTCATGTGCGAAAGATGGAGAGGAATTCGTAGATGTGAGAAAACGGCTTACGAAGGATGCGAAGTATGTACGTGCGTTATCTTCCGTGGTATGTGTATTATGTTGCCTTGAGTTTACTACTGTCTTCTCAACTCATTTGCAGCCTGAAGGTCGTATTGGCACCATTCGCGGGAACATCAGGAAGGTTGCACAAGCACATGTGGCAAGCCACTATGGTCTCACGAAAGGTGCTGATGACAGGGTCGCGGACCTTCTCAAGAACAATGCATACATTTATCCGGTGAACGCGAAGGTTCATCAAAGATTTATCGTCTATTTTATGTTTGAGCTGATGCCAGTGGCTTCATACATTACAGGGGGACCTTATCCGAACCAAACCATTTCAAGCGCCGGCGATTTTGGACACCATCGAGGATGCATTCTTCAGCGACGAGCTCGCAGCGGGAGTAAAGTGGCATGACCATCTGACATCAACAATTGATGATCATCCTGACGAGGTTGAGCTGCCTGTCGCGATGGTGGCACTTGCTAGCGCTGCGGTATGTTTTAATTGCTGTGGGTATGTTATATGTATTAATCAATCACACAATTCAAGGTGTGCTCCGTCATTATCATCGGGAAAAAGCTCCTTCACAAAAACAAGGTAATTTCAGAATTTTTTGGAGAATTCCTCGTAATTTCAGTGAAATCCAGTGAAATCGAGTACGACCAGATTTCTCAAGCTCGGTCGTAGTTACTTCGAATTACTTCGAATTTCTTCGAATTTCTTTGAGTTTTCAGTCATTATTCCTCGAATACCATCAAATTATTTTGAATTCGGTTGAAGTCGACATACATAAACATTGATTAAAACGAGATATCACAATCAAAAGATGTGAAAAGAAAAGAAAATATCAGCAAACTGAGAAGCAACTGACTCGGTGCCATATTCATAGCTTGATTTATTCTTCGACCATTGCATCGAGATCGAGATAGTCGCAAGTGCTTGATGAGGCAGTGGATGCCGAGTTCTCGATTGCACTGGTGTTGAGTTAGTCAGAGTGCCCAACAATGAAGAATGGCACAAGCAAGACGCACCTGACTGCCTTGTAAAGCCGTGCCATCAGTGCATGGTACTTCTTTATACTACCATTGAAGATGCGGTTGAGAGTCGCTTGGTGAGCCTTGTAAACACCGACGTGGGAGGAGGCATTGAATGATTTGACTTGCGCATTTGAAGGCGGGTTGCCACTACTCCAATCCTTCAATATCGCATAAATCTGTGGAGAATGTTATGTAGTCAGTATACAGAGTTTGAAACAGTATCACAGCCGGTGCCTACCATAGTTGCAGTCAAACACACCATAGCCACCGGTAGCTCTGGCTCATTGTTTCCATCTAAGACAGAAACGAAATCATCATGGCACTGACTGCCAAATGAGTCCTCGCCGCCATCAAAGAATGACAATCGGATGATGTCAATGGTAGCCTCATCACAAAACGGTTGGTCCCCAAGGACCTTACCCTGGGTAGTAGATGAGAATCAGAGAAATGAAGAGAGAGATAACAAAATACTAAACAGACCTTGGCATCGGTTGGAAAAATATACTTGTGACTTTTAAGAAGGTCTTCTACCTTGTCAGCGCAGCCTTTCTGGAGTCCAAAATGTGATACAACAATTTGATGTGCGAGCTTCTTGAGATTGGTGCGGAAGGAGCTCATTCGTCCCTCCGGCTTGTAAGTGTATTAGTTTCATTCAAATAACCATGCAAAAAGAGTACATACGATCCCAGCCAGAGCCAGTGCGTAATCAAAGTCGTGCTTCATCCTCTTTAATATCGCATATTCCTTGCGCTTCCCGGCAGCGGTATGGACCGCTTCCAGGGCCATCTTTCACTTCTGAGTGATGTTGGGGAATGCGTTGTCGAAGAGAGAGGCTTTCTTGAGTTCGAACATGGCGGCCTTCAACACATTCTGTATCCAGGTGTTTTGAGCCTTGAGGTTGATAGAGCCGTCTGCTGAGTAGACTAGATCTGTGAATATGGGCCATGTAAAAGAATGATCAGACTCAGAAGCTGACACATGAGTGACATCTGAAGCTGGCCGCGGCGGCACCACAGTCTCCACAAATTTAGGTCTCTACACAGTGTGATGTGAGACGGAATCATGGGAGTGTGCAGTGGAACACATCACCTCAAGGTCTTGTCGTTCTTCTAGCTTGCTCTTTTTCTTCTTGTCTTTCTTCTTGTCTGGCTGGTGTTTGGTGACGGCTGTTGCTTCATGGTAATATGGCTTGGAATGACCATCAGAGGCTTTGTCAGCAACATCAACTTGAGGAACACCAGCAGTAGTGCCAGAGGCCATCCATTCAGATACATTGCTACCCGTGCGCACAAAATGGGGAATCTATGTCAAAAGGTCAATTTCAATTTTTCTGACAATGGGGTCAAGTACCTCTTTAATGAGTTCCTCCTGGGAGAGTGACTCAAAGTCATCATCCTCAGGAACTTCCATGTCGTTGTCTGATTTTTCAGATGCATCGTCACTCTCTCCGTATTCACTAACAGTGTCACTATCTTCAATTGACACCATGGCTGATTTCGAAGAGCGCGTTGATCTCTCACGACCTCGACTAAGGAGTTGGGAAGTCCGCATTTCCCGGTAAACCTGCGAGACCTCAATGCAATTCTTGCCGCATTGTCCCTCGTCGACGAGGATTATGACCTGTGGAGACCAGCGTGCCAGGAGTGTGGCATTAAGCCTGTCTTCAAACCATTCTGGCTGGATCTCCCGCACACCAACTAGTGATATGTTCAAGGCCCGGCTCGGCTCAAAAGCTGTGGCCACGGCTCGGCCTTGGAGGGCTGGGGCTTGCTTCAAACCAAGGCCAGGCCCTATGGTAGGGCTCAGGCTCGGCTGGGGCTTGGCTCGGCTTGGGCCTAGGGCCTTGTGATACAAAAAACATAGCAAGTAAATCAAATTTCATCTAACATTTGAATAGAAACATCTTCGTCATCTGATTCTAACAGCTCCTCATTCTCACATAAATCCTCAGCAACATCATCCCACCCATCATCTTCGTTGAGAGCAGCAGGAGTCTTATCTTCAGACAATGCATCATCTACGAACTCGGTTGCAACAGATGGGTCCTTGCGAAACAGGAGATCATGTTTGATCATGCATTTCAAGCACTGCAGTGCTTCGACGATGTCGTGTTTGAGACGATTTCGGCGCTTGGAGATAGTAATACCAGCAGATGAGAATGCACGTTCACTGGACACGGATGTGGCCATAATGGAAAGGAAGTCACGCGCGAGTGACGCCCAGACTGGGTATCGAGGTGCGTTGATGCCCCACCACTGCACAATAGTCATATCTCCAAGGTGGTCCTTGGAGTTGAGGTAAGCGTGAAAGTCGTGCCGCCACGGCTCATTCGCAGCTTCGGAGGGAGTGACAGAATTTGTGGAACTTGTGCGAGAGATTAGGGTGGGCTGCAGCATCGAGTCACTGTCATCCTCGCCGTCAGAGAGCTCTTGCAGCAGAGCATCGAGTTTGCGATTCCCTGTCTTCCTGACCTTGACTTCGACACCATTCCTAGAGTCGGGATCGTTGCTGTACATTTCGAGATACTGTTCTTTGTACTAGATGTACCATTAGTGAGTGTGTTGTGACGAGAGCTTTACTTACCATCTCCTCTGCATGTCTGTGTGCTTCGACAAGCAATTCCTCGCCCCAATACTTGCGAAGATGGGTCTCCTTTTGTGACGGATCGAGAACTGTCGTTGGAAAGTCAGTGGGAGTAATACTATGTACATGAAAGAACGACGCACACATCGCCATAATATGGGCGTCAGAACTACTCGACTTCTCGTAATACTTCGTAATCTTCTCAATACCAGCATCGAGGCCCTCCGCAAAATCGAGATACTTGATACGTCCAGAACGTGAAGACCATGCGCTATGCAACGACTCCAATGCAGGCAATGCTAAGTGAAGCATTGGTCCTTGTTCAGATGAGAAGGACTGCTGCGACAACTCGGCAAACTGTAGTTTCAACGTGAGCCGCGACTCGAGTTGTAAGATAAAAATACATACACCAAGGATTGAGAGCAGACGTTGAACACAGGTCCACTCTTCAGATGATAGCTCAAGGTCCATAATCTTTTTCCGTTTAGCTGAGTCCTTCTCTTGCAAACCGAGCCGGCCCACAAAATAGTCAACTTCCTAATAATATACATCAGCGGGAACAACATTGACATCCTAAATTGAACTTACATCTCGCAGCTCGAATGCACGTTGAAGCATGGTGTATGTTGAGGACCACCTTACTTTCATGTCGAGAAGCAGCTGTTGTGGATGTTTGATTGGCGTGTGGCCATCTTCGTCTCGACGCTGGACACTCTGAAAAAGTTCCTTTCGTTGAGCTGAGGAGCGCTCCTACAATGAACAATGTCAACAAAACATATGTGCATTTGACGGACGGCAAACCTTGACACAGATTGACCGGACTAATCCAACCTCGTCTCGTTCAAGTGTGGAGTGAGTCGCGGGGGCAAGCAAATCGTCGTTAGGTTGGGTGGCATCGTAGTGCCTCGACTTGCTGTGTGTGGACAACAGCGCCTGAGTTGCGAGGTTGATAATGTGGGCCAAGCACCTGAATATATGTGAGAATTGGTAGTAATAAACAAGACATAGAAACTCTTACCGAAGGTGCCGTTTTTTATGATCGAATGTCTTCTTGGTGTGTGCCTCGATGTGGACGGCGAAATGTTCCATCATGGTATCGTTGTTGGCTGCATTGTCGCACGTAATGTAGCCAATCTGAAACTTCATCAGTGCCACACTGTTATGAAGCTAGAATTTTACTTACCTTATGTTCAATCCCAACACGTTTAACTAATTTGAACAGCGCTTGACCAAGACGGACACCGTTGTGAGCGTTGTTCAGTCGAGTAAAGCCAAGAAGGGCACTTTGAACGCTCCAAACACCGACTGTTCTTTCTTCGATCCAGTGACCAGTGAGGGCAAAATAGCCATCGACATTCGATGCTTGCCAGGCGTCGCATGTCAAATTGATCCGTCCTTTGACAGTGTTGCTCTTGTTGTGGTTCGTGTTAGAAATAACGACAAAAAAATCAACAAATGACTTACAAGTAACCGTCGGCGAAGGTTGGTGAGATTACGCTTGAAGAGGTCGATAATGGCTCGGCGCGTCTTTGATCGACTAGGTAGCTTGACACCGTTGGTAGCTCGTGCTGCTACATCAATCATATATTTGAAGGACTTGTGGTTGAGTGCGTCAATAGGCTGCAGTGAACTGATAAGTGTCCAATTGCCAGAATTAAATTAAAAAAACATACCTGGTCAGTTTCAATCAGCCATTCAATGGCGGCCTCGCGGAAGATTGCATCTGAGTATGGGATGATCTGTTCCTTTGGTTGCGGCTCACGGAGGTGGGCATCGAGTCGTGCTTGAGAGTCAGCAGCAGCGTCTAGCTTGCGGCGCTTGGTGTCCTTTGGTAACATCGAGACAAATTTCTCAGCTTTGGCCCATGTAAGATATTCATTCTATAATGAACAGTTAGTGGCATGTTTTCTCGGGTTGGCAATACTTACCCTGTGCGAAGCGTCCATATGGCGTCGCATAGTCGTCACCTCATTGACAAAAGCAACGGGTTTTTTCATTTTCTTGCTATAGCGTAGTCAGTACAATGTGCATGAGACAGAAATGTAAATTTACCTGCACAGTCGACAATTCCGGTGCTTCTTGCCTTTGTCAGTGTAAGGCTCGGAAAAAAACTTGGTGATGTCGCGACTTCGCTGCTCTTGACGTGGGTTTTCAGAGGCCTTGTCAATGCTCATGACTTGAACATCCTTGAGGAAGCCGTCAGCATCAACTTCGTCAGAGTGGTTTGCTGAACTAGTTGCATGCGGTGCGTTGACTACATATGTCAAATAGATATCAGTATTATGTATCTGTTTCGTTCGGTAGGAAAACTCACCAGTTGATGGACTTGCATCGTGTTCAGTTTCATTTGCGTGTTCGGGAGGATCAGGGCTATAAGCTCGTTTTTTGCCTGTAGTGATGTAGGCATTAGTCAGTACTTATCCAACAAAATAGTATAAACACACCTTTCGTCAGTCGCTTTTTGTGTGTGCTGCCTGTCAGCTCGATATCATTGTCGTTATCGTCAACCTCAACGACGGTGACTTTGTGGCTACGAGAACTCGTAGGAGATGCGGTACTTGGGGGATTCAGAGGTATTGCCACAGAAATGACAGAGGGAGCATTGGCAGCACGACTTGCATCATTGTGAGCTCGCCTGTGTGAAGCTAATTCTTGATCAGCAGCGTTATCCGCACAAATTACCTTCGCTGATGGCACAGCAACACGTTTAGGGCGTGCCGTACTAGTAGGTGGTTCCTCGCCATCGGAATAGACGCGCAGCACCATATGCGGATGTGACCTGTTGAAAATTCAAAAACTCAAATTAGTTTATCCTAGACAGCTGAGGCTTTGAAACTATTGCAGTTTCACGGTCATAGCCGACTGAACGAAAACGTACCTGAAAGCCGTGGCCTGAAAGCCTGGCTCTGGCCTGGACACAACTTGAGCCAGGCCCTAAGCCTTCATAGGCCGTCTACAAAGCCCGGCTGGGCTTGGCCTAAGTGGGCCCGGCTAGGCCCGGCTCACGGCCTGAAGCCGGGCCTTGAACATCACTAACACCAACATATTCCAATCCATCACGCCGGATGTGTTGCATCAGCTCTACCAGGGTATCATAAAGCACCTCACTGAGTGGATCAAGGAGGCATGTAGCGAAGCTGAGATCGACGCTCGTTGTCGTAGGCTTCCCCCAAACCACAACATCCGCTTGTTTCTGAAAGGAATCAGTCACCTCTCACGTGTTAGTGGAACAGAGCATAACCAGATCTGTCGCTTCCTGCTTGGTATTGTCATTGGCATACAGTTGCCTGGAAATCTCAATAATGGTCGCCTTACTCGTGCCATTCGCGGCATCCTTGATTTCCTTTACCTTGCTCAATACCCTTCTCACACAGATCAAACTCTAGCACTGCTCGATGATGCCTTGACACGCTTTCACGATAACAAGGATATCTTCCTTGATCTTGGGATCCGATCGAATTTCAACCTCCCGAAGCTTCATTCCTTCCGTCACTATGTACATATGATCAAAATGTATGGCACGACCGACAACTACAACACCGAGTACACCGAACGCTTACATATTGACCTCACGAAGGATGCTTACAGGGCTACCAACCATAAAGACGAGTATAGTCAAATGACGCTCTGGCTCGAAAGACGTGAGAAGATGTTGTGGCATGATAACTTTGTTAAGTGGCGTCTGGTTGGTGATCTTGCCTCGCAAGAAAGGCCACCACCAGACATGGATTATCGTCGGGCAATCAAGATGACGAAACACCCGACCGTCAGACGTGTTCCATTGGATCACATTGTGCAGGACTATGGCGCCACTTTTTTCACAGCAGCATTGGCTCGTTATGTGGTTGGCAGGAATCAACCTGGTTTATCTGCAGCGCAACTGGAACGAGAGGCTGCTCATATCATTCTTCCCTTTGATGCTGTGGCTACATTCCACAGGATCAAATTTCACGCAATCGATGCTCACGGGTTCCAGGACTCGAGTGTAACAGTAGATTCTGTGCATTCTCAACCATCGCGAAAGGACAAGAGAGGGCACACGATCCCCGCACGCTTTGATACTGTTTTGGTCAACGAAGGGGATGGTGGGATAACGGGCGTGAATGGTACGTTTGCATTTGTGTGAACACGGCCGTTAATCTGACTTTATTCCAAAAAGGATACCGTGTTGCGCAAGTTCGCGTCGTCTTCACGCTGACAAGTCAAGCTACAAATTTGTTATTCCCCGCTGGACCTCTAAAACCACCCGCCCACCTTGCGTATGTGGAATGGTTCACACCCTTCCAGCAACCTGAATCACACCATGGGCTGTACAAAATTTGCCGTCTGATGCGTCATGGAGAGCGTCTTGCAAGCATTATCGATGTATCGGACATCCGCAGGAGTGTTCATCTTTTTCCAAATTTCGGCGCAGTAGTACCTCGTGAATGGACGAGCAGTACCGTTCTGGAGCTCTGTCCCAGCTTCTTTGTAAACTCGTTCAGTGACCGACACGCTTATTTAACTATTGTTTGAGGAATATAACGAGATTCGTTGAAATACTCTCGAAATACATGTAATTTAACAGATTCGTTGAAATACTCTCGAAATACATGTAGTTTAACAGATTCCCTGAAATTCCTTCTTTTTTGAGCCATTTTGTGAAGGAGGTTTTCTCTGATGATGCAGTACTCCTCCGAAAAATTCGACCGAGACTTCAACTCGGACATGTACGGCGGGATCTATCGGACATTGGTTGGCATGTTGAATGGCATCTTCAAGGCCAGCGAGCGCAAATTTCACGTACTCGTACACTCGCTGTACAAGTCTGTCTAGTGAGTTCTATCTTTTTCGACACTTGTCATTGTCTGATTCCATCGTGTTGTAGTGGGTCGAAGCGCAAGACTGAAGAACCTAGCGCAGCCGATAGTCTCATGTTCCTCGATATTGATGGTATGGCGGAGGACTGATACTGGTCACACATTGTATTGTCTAGATTTCAGATCCAATGGTACTCATTTGATAGCATTGGACAAATTTTAACTGCCTGAAAATCATGTTCTGCTTGACGCAAATTCTGTTCTGATTGGCGAAAAGTGAGATCCAATTGTCGAAAATTCTCAAGGGACTAAAATAATGGATCGAATGTTCAAATCCATTGAATTCTCGCAGATTCACGCAAGTTGTATCATATTTCATCCGATTTGAGAAGAGCGTTTTTCCTGATGGTGCCATTCATGGCACGTGCACGTGTTGACATTGCAATAGAACCTAGTGATGTTCTTGACTTTGTTAGATTGTATTTCAACGACAAGGCTGTTGGAGACAAACTTCAAGGGATGTTGCAAGTCAATACGATCATTCCGTGGCACCCAAGAACGCAAAGTCCCTTTATGCCGAAGCGGCTACAGCTGTGGCGTGAGGCTCGAGCAAAGTATAACTCAGAAGGTCTTGCCAAAGATCCCGTAGGACTCGTAAAGTTCATTGGCTGTAGTTGTGCAGAGGACTCAAAGAACTCATTGACTGCTGAGTTGCACATCCCGGCTGTTGTCCTTGACATGGCAAGGCAACGCGAGCCCTTCACATTTGTCTCTGCTGTCACGGGCATGCAGTTTAACAAACCCATGAGCACTGTGACATGTCTAGAGTATGTTCTCCGTTCTCATCCTTGGATTCTAGCAAGCGGCGCTTCTTACATTTACATTGCACAGGTATATCAATGTGCATATTCGAGCGGACAAGCAGAATCAGCTACGTTTGCGGGCTGAGATGACAGAATAAGACAAGCAAGCTATTCGCGCTGCAGGTCGTAATGAGCATACATTTCCGGCTCGTACCCTCAAACAGAAGATGGAAAGAGAACACCTCTATGCTGGTATCATGGAAATAATACGTGAAACAGCCAAATGTGAGTGTGAGCTTTTTCAACTTCTCGTTCTGTACTAAAACAAGGAAGGATTCTCGTACCTTTCTGATCGGAGTCTCTTGTACGACACCTCTTGAATGGGCTGCCATTGACATGTGCGAGCGATGATCAGTCGCCAGCACAATCTTGTCCGATACCTGTGTACTATTAGTGGAAAAAAGTTGACTCGATATCAGCTGCCGCGAAATAGTAATCCACATACTCGCCAACGGTCAATATTTTCATTCTTCCTATATTTCAATCTCAATTGTGACTGATCTCAACGGGCGTTGAATCCGCGTTGTGACGCACCTATTTGACATAATCAAACACTTGATAGACTCAAAGATCGCTGCAGAGGACCTCAAACTCAACACGTGTGATCGATGAATGGCATAGAAATCGATCCCGTCATGGAGGTAGGTGTTCGACGAGGCTCGGTATCAGTAGCGGAGTTAAGTGTGTGTTTAGGGCGCTCACATTCTACACGTAGAACTCATGCCAAGAATTTGGAGATGGTGGGAGATAATTTTCAGTTACTGCCAAGGTACACATATTTGATGCTTGACTCACACCTTAGCAGTAGCCATCCAACTTGCAAGAAGTATTCAAAACTCCTATGTGCGAATTTTCTTGGGGATTGTAGCTTTCGTCTTGCTGAATATCTGTTTTAGTTGCATCCCTGATCTCACTGATCAGATAATCAAAGACTCAGACACACCGGCTGCAGTGGGCGGCTATGCGACAATCTTCAAGTGCAGCTGGAACTCGCCTTCTGAATCTTCTCCAGTAGGTCTCCCCTAGTTGACAATCGACGTCGGCTGATAATTCTAAACACTACCAGGTTGCGGTTCAGATCGTCAAGGTTCTGCATGACTCTGACCGTGCCTCACTCAGTATGTACATTGAGACGTAAGTCTTTGTGCCACAGAAACCATGTTTGTAAATGACATTGGACAATGCAGGAAATTAAGAACAGCACTTTCACCTGACTGATCAGGAGTGACACACAAAGGCCGCGACGGTATCGATCGTCCAGACGACTAGGCTGCGGCGTGCCAAAATAGTCAGCCACGGGACGAACAATAGCGGGAGAATGTTGTGAGCGTCTAAGTATGCACTTTGACGGATCTAAAGCATCTATTGCAGCTTTCAAACTCGCCGAATTGGTAACTCCGACGTTGTAACTAATATTTGATGGGGTAGCTCATCGCACAAAGCTGCAGTGTTTCTCTTGAAGTGCGTTTCGGAATTCGAGCTTGTTCGACAGTGCCAAGGATTCTAATGAAATGTTGTAGACTTGTGACACCAAAAGGTGGCTTAACTGATTGCGTATATGTTGTCGTTGTCTCACATTAGAGTGACTGGCTCTTCGCATGTACGAGAATGATGAACTATCACTTGACCATGAAGAGATGGGTCGGATGGGCCGGATATTCTGGGATAGAGATGTCCTCCTGCTGACGGATCTATTTGAGATTGATGCTACGCTGAAATATCTAATTCGGCAGTATCAAATCGGATTCAATACTTCATTCAGTCCTCGACTTTCCCTGGAAGAAGTTTTTGGAGCTAGCAGTTCGTCCGCCTCGTGCACAGGAATCAAAACTGCAGCATATCACAGCCTGAGATATTCCTGTTTACGCTTCCAAAGGATGATGGGTTGCAACACAGGAAGCCCGGGCGTCAAACTCCAATTATAAAACGACCAAGGATCTACTATGGGCCTTATCTCCACCTTATATCGACACTTCAGTATGAGCAAACACGCAGGAATTATTCATCACTCTCCGGACCAAGGCATTCTGCATTTGCCGCTTCAAGAGGTCGATGTGAGAGTATGGATGGTCGATAGTGCGTATTTCGATCGCTGTGCAGGCGAAAACCACTGATCAGCACGTCACTTTCCTCATACTAGTCTCTGCGAGGGTTGTGCTCTCGCAAGTGTTTGAGAACGTATCAGATAGCCCTACCAGCCGGGCCAAATATGTATTCCCTCTTCCAGCGAGCGCTGCTGCTTGTGCCTTTGAGCTCGAGCATGCCGATGGCCGCGTTATTGTCAGTGTCGCTAAGGAAAAGTCAGAAGCCGCACAAGCTTCCCTGAGTGCAATAGATGCTGGAAGGACTGCCGGACTTGTAGAATGGGTGACACACGACAGTATGACTGGCACATTTCGATGATACTGGATGAGCACTGACTTTGACTTTACTGCAGTATTCACGATCTCAATTGGCTCGATTTCCGCTCGACAGAAGGTCACAGCAAGATTGACAGTAAGTGCACTCTCGTTATTGAATACTTTTTCTGAAGAGCAAACAGTTTGTAATGGATCTTTTGGATGAAGGCAGACGGGACTAGGTCCGTCTACAGCTTCCGATGGCTATTGCCGAACGATACGGCGAGATTCCAGCAGCTATGCTCGATGCCTCTACAACTAATGAAGATACGTTCATCAAAATTGCTGCGGACGTCATAACCAGTGAAAAGATACAGGAGATATGCAGTCCTACTCACCCGACGATTGCTCGCAAACACTACAAGTCACGCATTGGGAAAAAGTCTGAACGACGAATGTTCGTAACTTGGTCGTCCAGGACGGTCCTCGACAAAGACTTCATATTGACAGTCCATGCTCTTGGATTCGACAAGCCTCGGTGTTTCGCTGAAGTCGATCCACAGGGTCGTGATACCATTGCTATGCGAGCGGATGCCATTTATTAGCAGGATAATGAACCTTATCCTTGAGCTCATACACCCATCATTATCTCCTCTCACAGATAAATGGACAGCCAAACACCCTCTGCACCTCACCTCAAATCCTTCCTCTACTCCTTCTCCCTCCTCGCCATCCCATACACCACCCGCCTCACTAGCTGGTTCAGAAGCGCACCAACATATGGCCAAAACCAATTATTCACGACTGGCCTTGTGGTTCTTCTCTACAACGTGTGTTATCTCACTCTTAGCCCAGGGTTCGAGATTCCTTTGGCGCAGGCGGGTGATGGATTGAGTAGTTTGTGGGTTGTGGGTTGCAGCGGAAAGCTTGGCGGCGTTTCGGCGCTCTATTCCTGCTTTGTCGTTCATTCATTTTATCATCCGAAGTGCACGTTCTCACGTTGATCTCCCCTTGCAGTCGGTCGCATTCTACTGTCCCGCTACTCTTACCTCCAACCCCTCCCTCAACTTTGCCCAAGTTCTTCAAGCTATTACTGCTAGTCCTGCTCGTGCAGCCAGGAGAGATGGTGGATGATTAGATGGTCGTGGTGATGAACAATTCGCCTCGCAAATTGTGAACGCTTGATCTTTCTCCCTTTTATTTGCGCTGTTGATATGTGGAGTAGGAACATTTGGAGAAGGAGCTCGAAGATGAGAGGGAATGGAACAAGGGCGACATCCCACATCTAGAATTGCTCGAGAAGCATTGCAAGGGGCGCGAAAAGGCTTATGAGGGATGAATGTGTGTTGCTCTTCCTACGCCAATGCTGATGTATCCTATCTTTTCAGGAAGTGAAAGCAGCAGCCGAGGAAGCGGCGAAGGATACGGTGCGGCTGGGACAACCTCATCCCTTACCAAAATCATCGCTGATCCATTGATAGACTGAATGATTTGATCCACCCGTCGAGCTCAAGTCGTGCTGACTGACCGCATCTCCCATCAGTACACAACCCTTGTGATGCTGTCCGGCCCAACTCTCGTGGTGCCCTTCGTGACCCCTCCTGTGGTAATTCTCGCGACCGCCTGCACCCACACGACCACCATTACCATATGCGTCATGCGAGGTCTTTAAGACTGGAAGATTCTCGTGATACAAAGTACTCCCGTTTTCCACAGAGCACCACTTTTTGCAAATTATGCTGTTGCTTTCATTCGACTTCGAGATCCACATCTCTGTTTGGTAACCTCGCGGGCTCAGGTACAAAAACATAAAGCTCGTTTTAATGACTTATGACCCGCTTATTGAGACCGAGGCAAAGGAAAAGTTCGCGGATGTCTATCAGCATTTGCTCCAAGCAGGCGTCAACAGGAATGAATCCGAGCGCGAGGCAAAGCTGAAGAAGACGCTCGCCAGTCTGCAGCGCTGCCTGCCTGGTCAGAGAAAGTCACCGCTCACATTCCATAGGCGTTCGCGGGCGCGTGGTCGACCTCTGTAAACCCACACAGGACAAGTACGAGACAGCTGTATCTGTCATCCTTGGGCGCAATATCGACGCTATCGTCGCGGATGAAGAGAAAACTGCCATCGAATGCATCGACGTGCGTTTCTCTGCCTTCTGTTATTGTCTATCTAAACTAATTTTGAAACATTATAGTATATGCGCACCCAGCGCGCAGGTCAAGCAACTTTCCTCCCCCTCAACACGACCAGCACCAAGCCAATCAACGACAAGTTCCGCTCATTTACTAGAGGTGCACCGTCTCGCTGTGGACGTGATCCAGTATGAGCCTGCCATAGAGCGCGCGATGCTCCATGCGTGTGGGAATGCACTCGTGTGTGACACGATGGATGTGGTGAGGTACGTGTGCTGGGAGCGGGGGCAGGAGGTGAGAGGTAGGTTGGCATTCATTTGCGGGAAGTTGGACGCCATGCTAACATTTGGGCAGCCGTTACATTGGCGGGCACTGTCATCTATAAGAGTGGGCTCATCACCGGTGGGCGCAGTACGCATGGTGGAGGAAAGAAGTGGGAGAAGGACGTGCAAGGTAGGCAGCTCACTGACCGTGGCGCCTCACACTCATTTATATTTAGGCTTTTCCTGTCTTCGTGACAATCTTGTGGCACAGCTTCAGGAATTGGATCACTCGATACCGAGGGGCAAGACAGACAAAAACGTCATTGCTGAAGTTACACGACTAGAGAGTGCTATAGCTGTTATAAGAGACGATCTGGTACGTCCTTGTGACAGTAGTCGGTGGCATTACCATAATCTCATTGTCTCAGTTCAACGATGTCAAGCGAAAAAGGTATGCGAATAGTTTACTTTGAGCGCCATCCTCATCCCAGTCACCCGATGCGAGTTATTCAACAAGGCATACAACCACATTTCAGATTGTATCGACCAGGTCTATAAAGACCTCACTAAAGGGAAGGCTTCGCCGATGGGAGGCATTGCATATCTTAGTTTACAGGACAGTGAGGTGAGTCTTTCAGTCTGTCAAGTCCAGGCAATTTTACACTTATTGATCACAGGAACCTTATAATGCCGGAATCAAATATCATGCCATGCCACTGATGAAGCGATTCCGTGACATGGAACAACTCTCGGGCGGGGAGAAGACTGTGGCTGCTTTGGTCTTTTCGTCTTCACCCCAAAAACCTTTGTTCTCACGATGTCTCAGGTTGTTAGCCTGCACCGTTCTTTGTCCTTGATGAAGTAGACGCTGCTCTGGACAATACCAACGTTGCTAAGATCGCTAACTATATCTAGAGTCAGGCAACGTCTGACTCCTTCCGGTGTATCGTCATCAGCTTGAAGGGTTCCTTGTATGAGCGTGGTAATATAATTCCCTTGTTGGAATCTACCGTGACCGAGATATAAATAGCTCTTACACGCTGACGAATGTGTGCGGGATCAGGCCTTCAAGTTCAGGAACTAAGGATAGCATTCAATGAATGTCGCATCCACATTCACAAACCAAGATTCAGCCATTGACCAATTTCTTCTCTTCATCAAGGTAGGTCAAATTCATCTCACATGCTCTCTGCCTCATTGCGTATTTCAGGTCGTTGCACTCTTCAACGCAGACCAACATGAGGAAGCGGTACCGCTTATCAAAGTTCTGGTTACCGCTTGTCCAAATGTTGATTCTCTCGTGCATCCTGTCATGGAAGTAAGTATCATGTGGCTACGCTTGGTCTTTGATGCTCATCTTTGCAACTCGCACATTAGATATCTGCACGTTCAGCCTGGGGTCAAAGCCTTCAACGGTGCACATTACAATGAAGCTGCTGACCTGCTTCGTCCTCATCGCTCTCGTCAGGATGAGGAAATGCGCGCAGGGTGACTAGTTTCTTCCGCAACAGTAGATTCATTACGATCGCTGGGCCTCCTTTTCTCCCTGCAGGCTGCAGGAAGCGTCTCTTACTACGTCATCGACATCGCGAGTTTGACGCTTACAATCAGTCGTTCGTTCCGGGTTGGAGCGAGCTCGCAACGACTCGGAAAATCCGCCGATTTCATAGCAGACACGTTGGTCACCCTTTTCGCAGCATCGGGCGCATCCTGTCAAGCGCCTTCTTCTCGATGTCGTTCACAACTAACCTGCATTTCGTGGAAGGTTATATTATGGGTGTACCTCCTTGTGCGTGAGGTCCTGACGACTGTGAAGGCCTTACTTCACCTGCTCCGAGTCGAACATCCCGACGACACGGATGAAAACGCCCCACTATACCCGCTCTATATGACGGTGGTGCGCACATTTTTTTCAGCTTGAGGTGAGCGATCAGTACCCTTGTATACCGCCGTGGAACGTTCACATCTTTAAATGATCAGTCCTGATTTATTGAATGATTTGTTAGATGTGAGTTTGATGCTTTTCAGTTGCAATGGCGCGATCATTGCGCATCGTGATGGGCCACACTCCTTTAAGACTCAAAGCTGATATTTTGGTTCAGTTATCTGAGTTGATGCCGACATCGTTCTCTTATCGTCCTACCAGTTATGTTCCGTCCGACAAGGTCCCAACTATTCACGCTGTTGTAACGCAGCGAAAGTTACAACCTGCAGCTCTCGATGACCACATCGACCTTCTTAACCGTGCATTGGAAAAATTACAAGGTATCCAAGCTAGATTGAAGGAGAAACGGGCCATCGTGCAAGAGTCGCTGGAATTCCACGAAGCCCTGGCATCTCCAGCATGCTGTTCGCTAACATCAGAGCCACTTGGATAGAGAGTTCTTCGATGTCTTCCCCAGACAAATTACGTTGCACCTTCATCGGATGAATGCCCAACGGTCTTGACAAGGGGGTCTGCCGTCACTGGCGAGTAGTTGCCCTGTGCACTCCTCGATTATGGGCGTCCTTAAGGATATCCTTGCTTAGGGTAGACACAACTGGTGGTGACGAGTACAAGCACTGGTTAAAAAAAAGCCAGCAGTGTTCCGCTGTCCATTCGTGTGGTGCATGACGTGGACCTCTCAGATAGGAAAGAGCCTCTTTCCATACAATGGATCCGACCTTTTTTGGGCCGATGTTCTGACCTTTGGTGGCATGAGCCTCCCGTCCAAGGTTTATTGGACAAATCTGTTCAGTCCCTGTCACACTTTCAGGTCACCTTCTAGAAAGCACAGCATTGGGCGCATCCTTTCAAGCGCCTTCCTCTCGATGTCGTTTACAACTAACCTGCATTGCGTGGGAGGTTATATTATGTAAATCATGTTTACATGTTCGTTTATCTATATTAACATCGGTGTTCGGTGTTGTTCTTGATGCGATTGCGGATGGCACATAGTGCTAGAGTTACGTGCCCGGACCGGGAAACGAAAAAAAAAGCAGGACAATATTCAGCGGCTGAGAAGCGAGTTGAATGTTTCAAGGGTCGCATTAATGTTGACGTGAATGACAGCACGTGCAGAGGGTTTGACGAACCGATTTTTGCCGCTTTGGCATTCTCGACGAAGCAAGAAACTTACATAATTTATGTAATACAACTAACCTCGCAGCCGCCAGCCGTCTGAGAAGTCCACACCTATGGAGCCGTACGCGTCTGACTTCAAAAATATCTGTACACGACATCGATCGCGGTGGCCGTACCGGCAGCCCGCCTGCGATACTATGTGTAAATAGCTGATCCATAAACCAGTTGAATGATGGACATCGATAGACAATGGTTGCACGTTGAACTCAACTTATGACTGTTCAAATTGCTGGCTCATTGGAGTCAGTTGAAACTCTCAGATCGGGCTGGAGCTTTGTTTTGTATACATACGGACAGCCGAGCGCGTAGCGTTAAGTTCAAGCTAAGCTGAGTAAACTGCTAAAGTGCTACGCGAGTATCATAGTTGCGACAAGACAATGTAGACTAGCCTAATCAGTAAAGTTCGGCTCGCTTACTAAACCGAGCGACGAACGGCCTTGTGACTTAGTTTTAGTGCCTCTTAGGCGCCGGACCTAGTAGTAGCTATTCATTCAGAACACTACGGCGATGTACCAGGCCTTTTACAACCCTCAATTAACCTATCCAAATCTTGCGTTTAAGATCCGTGCACACGACGGGACGCCATCATAGGCGATAAACTACTAGTAAGTACGTCAGAATCGGACCATCGGATGTGCAGCGACTGACTTAAAATCTAAAGTGCAGAGGCGGAATGGAAGTCGTCTCCACCGCTCCCCCCCCCCTTCCACTCCTTCTCTCTTAATTTCTCCAGCTGCAGCTGCAGCTGCTGCACGTTCTTTAGCCCGTTCACCGGACGCCCACCGTCCTTACAACTCCCAGAATGGAGTACCCAGACGAGGTCGATGACCTTGTCCAATTCAGACTGGACCAATTCCTCGGCCAATCTCAAGACATGTTCACGCGCGTGCGAGACGATCGTCGGTCAGAGATCGATTTCATCCGTTTCGTATTGGCAGGTAGGATCGGGCCAGAGGCAGACGAGGAAGTCGACCAGTGCCGCATCACCCTGAATGCCCAGCAAGGCATTCCCCATGTTCCTCCTCGACCTGAAACCACCATCACTCGCGACATTGACTCTGTGATCGGGGTATCACGTTCGTTGCCTTACACAACGGCATTGTCGGTCTGGCCCGACATTACAATGAAGCTGCTGACCACTTCACTGCCATTGTCCACTCCACTACTTACGCTGACGCATCACGCCCCAATTAATACAGGCTGACCTGGATGGTCACATAGTTGATCAGCATCAAGCCCTCATCTCCATGGGCTTTGCCCTCTGGTCTTTAAGTCGACATCGAAAAAGTGTAAGACAATAGATAGGGATATCCATCTCATTACTGACTACTACGAGTCCGTGTAAGTGCAAAATGCACAAGAGCGTTGCAATAAGATGTAGACAGGTCAGAATGAAAGCAAGGGTGGGCACAAAAGTTTCACGACATCTCTCCTATGATACGTCGACATCCAGCAGAAGCCAAAAAGATCTCGAGAACCCCGCGGCCCGTCCCACACCAGTGAGCTATGTGCCTGATCTCTTACATCGGCGTCGAACCCCCCAAATAAAATGCATGTAATGAACGTTTGCACATTATCTCGCTCTATTTCTATCCGATTCTCTTGAATCTTGAAGATTCGGAATAAGCGTAAAAAACTGATCATGTTACAATACGATTCAGATTCGGATCAGCAAGATCTATGTGTGATTGTACAGTATGATATTGATACACAGCAACTCTTGGTACACAACTGTATGTATGTCTATAGGTATGTTATGTGAACATTTTGGTATGATACATGGCTTGCATATTGCATGATTGGGCATGCGGTTACAGTAGTGATGGGGTATGTTGGTGTATGTGGCGTATGTCTATCGGCATGGATGGGCCTGCGCTTGACCTGCATTCGAGGCGTAGGTAGTTGGTTTAAGGTGCGGGCGGGCCACTTGACGCGAGTGATTCGTTGAGGCCCGGGAGAATCGTTTGAGGTCTTGGGGATCTATTTGAGGCGCACGTGAGCCACCTGGGGTGCTTGAGGACCAGTTGGAGTTCGCGTGCGCCATTTGAGGCGTAGGAGAGTTGTTGATCAGAAATTGGGGGATGAGCAACAAAGCGGCACAAAAACAAACAGAATAATGGGCGCAAAAAGGGAGGCGGGAAATATGATCACCATCCAAAAGATACGCACTAGAGCACACTCATGCCAAGAAAAAAGGCACTATACAGCACGAGACAAACGAGCACTAAGCAAAAAAAAATCAGTGAATGAGTATCGTGCAAGCAATCAGATGGGGGACCAAGAGTATCGCGATGATGTTCCAAGTAGGGAAGCAAAGAGATGGTCTGCGATGATTTACCGAGACCCTGTATAATTTAGTGAGCATCAAAGTGAAACATCAGAAGTTAGGATACCGTTCAACCCGTTGTGGTGCAACGAGACCATCCAATTCAGTCCTTAAAGTTGATGTCTTCATCGTATCGTTAACATCTAAAAGTGTGGTTTAGCGTGGCTAGTCATGGGACTGGACGACACGTACAGCTCGGTGACTCTTCAAAGACATAGGGTTGGTCGTCTCCATCCGCAGCGAATCCCCCATCATTCAACAATTCATCATCATCTTCCTTCTCAGACTTGCGATGACCTGCATTCTCGTCGCTTCTCAAAGAATTAGTCGGTAGTTATACAGAAAAAACACACGAATGACGCACGCTCCCTTCTTTCAACCTCTACCCTTCAATGGCTTCGGCTGCGAGTCCAATATTGCGGATCACGAGTTTTCTACAAGACGGTGAGCAGAATATGATGGGACTGACGTGATATAACGCGCCTTGATATCTATAAAGTGCGTGAAAAGATCCGTCTGACCGAGAAGGTACGAGTATTGGTCTTGCTCATAGTATCGATCACTAAGCAAAGTTTCCTGCTAGTCATCAGGTCAACCCGAGTTCGGCATCAGAATAATTGGCGCAGACCGAATCATGCATGATAATTCAATATTCAAGGACAAGAATCCAAGATCCAAGTTCAACTTGACGTTTTGAAGACAATTACATGACGGCTGAACAAAAATTGAGTATTCCTGTACCCTAGAAGGGGGTACAGGTCTCCCACAAAATTTTCTCTGTGAGCTCGATCATCCCGGCTCCACACCGGCCCGGTTGCCATGATTTAACATTAGTCATCATCACTGTATCTCTGTGTTTGCGCAGTCGTGCTCCTCTTTCTTTCCTCTCTGGTTTGTTCGCATGGCTTCAGCATCGTCTTCCGCACTCAATCAAGCATCTTCTCGACCTCCTCCTGTCTCTCTAGTTGTTTCTGATCGCGAGCTTGTCGACGATGGGATGTCTGTTGTGTCATCGTGTGTCCTGCGCAAGTGTTTTGGGTTTTCAGAGGTCTCCCGCGAGCGTGTCTCCTTGCGTAATCAATATCCTGCAGGTTCCTTGCTGCCTGTGGTCGCTCCCAATTTGCGGTTGATTGTTGAGCATTTTCCGACATTCAATCGAGAGCAATACGCTGAGATCGCCCGTGCACATTCTATATATGTGTCCTCTGCTGATCGAAAGGATCATGTTCGTGATCTCCTACGTGTACATGTATGTAATAATGATTGTATTTCGAACACCATTGTGTTTAAGTTGCTGAAACACCCCAGACGGGACCATTCCAATCATGTTTTGCCTGATCCTTTTGCACAATCGTATCGTTCGTCTCATGCAGCGTCTCAGCGTGATACTCGTGTTGCAGCGAGTCAGTCGCAGCGTGAGGAAGCGAGAGTTGCGGACGCCGTTCAACATCGACAAGCTTATCATCATAAGGATGGACATGTCACGGATGATCCGCACTTTCCAACGGTATTGTCGTTCGATGACAAGTCGGATATTATCCGCGAGTGGCAACAGAAGATGAGTCCCGAATCATTAAAACGTGGTTGCTGTGCTGTATGTGCTCATAATGTATGCGCCCAAGAATTGCGGTCTGTAGAAGCAGCGAAGATACCGTTACATCTGTTGCGGAACGATTGTCTGCCAGAGCATACGCTGCCTTGCACATATGATCTCGAGTTATATGGCCGTGCAATTTTATATGCCAAGGGTTTGACGAGTTGCTGGTCCCTATCAGAAATGTATATGTGTTCTTCATGCCATTCGGCGCTCATTTCTAAGTGTCCTCGTCAGCCAGTGAATTCTCTCGCTAATTTTCAATACTACGGGCATGAAAGGTTATCTCCAGAGATTCGCGAGGCTTTCTCTTCGGCTTCTATTTATGATTTGATGTTGGTCTCTCGCGCGAGAGCATCTCAGATTACTCACTTCTATACATATAAATCTTCTTTGACTCAATTTTGGTCAGCTGAGGAAGCTTCGCAACGATATAACAAGGGAAATGTCGCTATCCGTCCGCAAAGTTCGACGGAATTGTATAACTTGTTACCACCAAACCGTGGTGAGTTACGGGATGCTATGTGCGTAATTTTTTCGGGTCAAAAACATGTACCATCGCGAGAGACCGTTAAAAAATTGAAGCCTGTGTTAGTTACGAAAAGTAGGGTTCGTAAGCTCATTGATTTCTTGATTACACACAATCCATGGTATCAGCATAGTGGTGTATCATATAGCCAAGATAATATGGATGCTTTGTTTGATGAGGCTGATTTCGATGCAGATACAGGTGTGCCGCATGCTTTAGCGATTTGCCATTTGCCGACAGAGGATCAGGCTTCCCCAGATGCAGGTTTCAATTCACGCGATACTCACGATACTCATGGAAGTGACGGTGGTGATCTCGTCATGGAACCTGTTGGGTATACAGAAGGTGATCATTCTTCACAAAGCCGAGAAAAAATGAAATTACATGCACTCGCATATGTTTTAGACCGCAAGAAATTCTTGTTGTCACGGACAGGTAGTAAATTCGTAGCTGACAGTGATCCTGGTCTCATGTCCTATTTGTTTCCCCATCTCGACCCTTGGGATATCGGGGGATTTTTTCATTCTGGGCGAACAAAGCAGCAACACCTTTCAATGCAAGCGCAAGTGAGAAATTTGCTTCGTCAAGATGATTCACCTTTTAGAAATGATCCTCAGTTTGCCTTCATATGTTGGAATATGATCCAGAAACGAGAAGTCAGCAGGAATACAACTTTTCGCATCGGTTTATCTGCGCAACGAGGATTAGCTAAGGAACTGACAGATATCGCGCCATCCTTGACATCTTTAGCTGATAAGTGGAGTCACTCTGTGGATCAGAAACCATCGACGACTGCAGAAAAGAAAGCTGTCCGCATCCTGCGTCGTTTGCAAGCTTCAACAAGGTCGGTACGAGGTAGCATCGGATATAAATTGTGTCGTCGTAATGAGATTCGTTCTTTGATGAAAAAATTTAGCACACCTGCGTTATTTGTGACGCTGAATCCTCATGACTTGACTAGTCATATTTTGCCCATCATCACAGGCATCGAGTTGGCAGATTGGTCAATGATGTCCTCCTTTGAGCGCGCCAAAATTGTTGCAAGTCGTCCTGATGCAGCTGCCATTGCGTTTGATCTTCAGATTCGTGCCTTTATTGATATTATCCTGAAGTATAAGCATGGACCTGGTATATTTGGACACTGTCAAGCATATTATGGAATGGTGGAAGCGCAAGGGTGGGGCACCTTACACTGTCATATGTTGCTCTGGATTGCAGGTAATCCGAGCCCACAAGCTTTGCGAGAGCGTATGGCAAATGAAGAAGGATTTCAAGGCAAGATGTTCGCATGGTTAGAGAGTATTATCAGCTGCGAACTGCCAAATGATACTACGTGCGTATTTGAGACGAGTCCGCAGGACGCAAAGAAGCCTGACAGAGGTTCAGATGAGATGGATCCTCGGCTAGAGTTGCCTCCACAAATTGCGGACTTAGACGATCAATCTTTTGCATACAAATTTCAAGCATTTTTGACTCGCTTGGCGATAGAATGTAATTGGCATGTTCACAATGACACATGCTATAAGCACATAAGAGCCGGTGAAAAGCGTGGAGACCACAATTGTCGGATGCGCCTTGATGGATCACTGCAGGCTGTTACCAGCATCGATGTTGAATCTGGTTCGATTGAGTTGCATCGATGGCGAGGTAGGGTGAACAATTATACAGACCTGATATTGTTCCTCTTGCAAAGTAATACAGACAGTCAGTTTATCGGTTCGGGTGAAGCTGCCAAGGCGGCCGTCTTTTATATAACCGAGTATATCACGAAAGGTAATCTTCCAATGTACACAGGTCTCCAGGCCTTAGAGTATGCCACCAAAATGCATGAACAAAAGTTTGAAGTCGAAGAGAACGTCGGTGCAGAAAGAATTAATCGTAGTCTGATAACTAAATCTGTGAATGCCTTGATGGGTCAACAGGAAATATCCCATCAACAAGTCATGAGTTATCTTGTTGGGAGTGGTGACTTTTATACGAGTCATACTTTTCAGACGGTGAAGTGGTATGAGTTTGTACGTGCTGCTGAAAGACTTGACCAAGACATGGAATCTCTTCCGATTGATGATGGACTAGTGTCGGAGGATCATCAGGAAATCAACTCGGAATTGATATGACCAGGTAGAGCTGACAAATAAAACCCATCATGATACATCCAGATTTAGAATTATACATTATTATCTTTGCACAACAAGTTGATGAAAGATCATATGACTATGTCAAAGACATGTCATTTTGTCGCACATCTTATAATTATGCAACAAGTTCATGAAAAAATATATAACTATGCCAAGGACACATCACTTTGAAGGGCACCTTGTAGGTACACAACAAGCTTATGACCAAATATATGACTATGCCAAGAACATGTAATTTTGATGCACATTTTACAAGTAAAACCCATCATGATACATCCAGATTTAGAATTATCTTTGCACAACAAGTTGATGAAAGATCATATGACTATGCCAAAGACATGTCATTTTGTCGCACATCTTATAATTATGCAACAAGTTCATGAAAAAATATATAACTATGCCAAGGACACATCACTTTGAAGGA